CGTGCAATGTCACCTCTCTTGCAGGGAAGGAGCCCGAGCTGGTGTGCAAGGCAGAGAAGTTCCGACTGGATATAGTCGGACTTGCCTCCACACACAGTCTGGGCTCTGGTACCAGTTTTCTTGAGAGGGGTTGAACTCTCTTCCACTCTGGAGTTGCCCACAGTGAGAGGCGTAGAGCAGATGTGGGCATACTCATTGCCCCCAGCAGCAATTGTTTTCCAGTGAGGGTTGGACTCCGCCAAGGCTGTCCTTTGTCGCCGATTCTGTTCATCACCTTTATGGACAGAATTTCTAGGCACAGCCGAAGCGTTGAGGGGGTCCGTTTTGGGGGCCTCAGTATTGCATCTCTGCTTTTTGCGGATGATGTGGTACTGTTGGCTCCTTCAAGCAGGGCTCTCCAACTCTCACTGGAGCGTTTCGCAGCCGAGTGTGAAGCGGTTGGGTTGAGGATCAGCACCTCCAAATCTGAAACCATGGTCCTCAGTCGGAAAAGGGTGGAGTGCCCTCTCCGGGTCGGGGAGGAGATCTTGCCCCAAGTGGAGGAGTTTAAGTATCTTGGGGTCTTGTTCACGAGTGAGGGCAGGAGGGAGCGAGAGATCGACAGGCGGATCGGTGCAGCGTCTGCCGTGATGCAGACGTTGTATCGGTCTGTCGTGGCGAAGAAGGAGCTGAGCGAAAGGGCAAAGCTCTCAATTTACCGGTCGATCTACGTCCCAACCCTCATCTATGGCCACGAGCTATGGGTCGTGACCGAAAGAACGAGATCCCGGATACAAGCGGCCGAAATGAGTTTTCTCCGCAGGGTATCCGGGCTCTCCCTTAGAGATAAGGTGAGAAGCTCGGTTATCCGGGAGGGGCTCAGAGTAGAGCCGCTTCTCCTCCACATCGAGAGGAGCCAGATGAGGTGGCTCGGGCATCTGATTAGGATGCCTCCTGGACGCCTCCCTGGTGAGGTGTTCCGGGCATGTCCCACTGGCAGGAGACCCCGAGGACGACCCAGGACACGCTGGAGAGACTATGTCACCCAGCTGGCATGGGAACGCCTCGGGATCCGCCAGGAAGAGCTCGAAGAAGTGGCTGGGGAGAGGGAAGTCTGGGCTTCCCTCCTAAAGCTGCTGCCCCCGCGACCCGACCCCGGATAAGCGGTGGAAAATGGATGGATGGATGGATGGTTATCACATACTTGTATTGTGTTGTTTTCGACGAGTCTTAGAAGTAATATTTTGGGATACTTTTCCCGATTGGAGGTTTTTGCCTCATAGTTTTACATTTTTTATCTAATAACTCTCTAACCCACTTTTCATGCAGTATTTGTGTTTGCAGGTTTTACCTAATTGCCATTTTTTCTGCATTGTTCTCATATTTCAGTGTGTCTATTACGTTTTTTTTTTTTTAAACAAACAATTCTGTATTTTTCATCTTAAATGTAGTCCCCTCCAATATTTTTCAATACTTGCATCTTATCCTTTTTCATGTCTAATACTCTAAATATATATGTGTGTGTGTGTGTATATATACACACACACAAATACGTATTCCGTCATCGTTTTGTTCATTTGTGAGGCTTGATTAAGTTGTGTTTAAAGACGTGTTCAGTGAGTTGACGTCACGTCATCGTGTAGAAAACGCCAGAGAGAAAAAACAGCTGAATTACTTACATGAAATGTTGTGTCTGGCGGTTCTTATTTGGTACAAGTTGACGTCGGCTCTCGGGTAGCCTTCTGCGTCCACCAAGGGACCATCAAGTCCGACCCCTTGCTATAAAAACAAAAACTCCAGCAAAGATACATCCACTTCGCAACATCGGCGACAAACTGATGGTTATATTCCATCAACTTACGTCTTCCAGGACATCGTAGTACGCTTTAATCTGCTCTTCGATGTCATCTTTCTTTTTAATAAGGTTTTTAACATCATCCATGGAGGTTTCTGGACTAATTTCGTTTGTCATCTTCATTGCGACTTCCTAGTTGTGCAGCACAATTGTGTCCGGGCAGATTTTGTAATTCAGGTGGAACGGTCTTGTGTCACCCTGGGAAACCTGTGCGTTACGCCGCATTGTGTCCGGGTAGATTTAAAACTCGAGTGGGAAACGTCAAAGAGTGTGTACTCAGTGGGGCTTGTGATGTCATTAAAGATTAAATAAGGAGTCGGACAAATGAGTATTTTAGAAGAAAAATGGGCTGAAGTTTGTGTTCTGCGCTTGTGTGCAGTGCTTTCTTTTGTTTTGTTCACGGTGTTATATAATCAGCCACTGTGTCATTCCTGATCACACGAGGGCATTTCGATATCAACCAAACAAAATAGTTCTGTACAACTTATTGCTAGATTCGAAGGGACAAAAAGAGAAAGAAACCTTGAATTCCCCTCCAAAACATGAAAATAACCAAGGACTTTGCATAATCAAGTCAATTCAGATTTTTATTATGGAAACCCTTCAAAAGCAAAAATATGCATGTAAACAGTGCAATTTATAAGTAAGTACAGGAAGAGGTTGCTTAGTTATTTCACATCCCCATATAGCACTATTATGGACCATCTTAGATTTGTATAAATCTCCATTTTAATATATTATAACTTCTTTTTTGGGAAACAAACATACAAACAAACCTGAGTGGTACGCTATCACAGTTGCTGGTAATCACGGAATGCATTTAAAACTTTCTTCATTTTGCTCACACAAATAGCTAACAAGTACAAACAATTCACTTGTACAAAGTGGAAATACAACCTGTGCTTTTGTGATCAAGTGATAAAGTTAGGACAGAGGGTTGAATAACAAAGCAAGTACCTTCTAGGGTTGTGATTAACAGTCTGTATCGGGAGGCCCTGCATATTGATCCGTAAGCACTACTTGCTCTATGACAGCTGAATCAGAGGAGGAAGGTGACGATGATGATGAACAGAGATCAGTCACTTCCTCTTGCACCAGGACCAGCTCGGACGTGGCCTGGTCTATCTGGGCGTGAACTGCCTGCACCCATGTCTGCAACTGCACGTTGAGGGCATCCACCCCGCGGTCCAGCCGCTCCTGTCGGGACGTCAGCTCATCCAGCAGATGGCGCGTTTCGCAGGCCACCTCCCGCAACCCATCCACTGCTGCTGGGGTCCGTCTACGCCGCATGTAGCCCTCAAACTCCTCCGGGCTGAGGTTGAGCGAGGGGCCGTCCAGTTTTTCAATGAAGGCCACCGCGCAAGACTGGAACCAAATGATAGCAATGGGGTCATTTTAGAAGTTGTAAAAGTACTCACAGTCTGGACTTTGGGTTGAAATACAAATACTTTTCTCATTCAATGCTTTCAGTTATTTTGTCAAAGTAGAAAATATTTGAAACGTGTACGAAACTTACCAGGTTGGTGAAGTAGTAGCCGCTCTCTCCTGCCATTAGGCTATGCGGGAGGCCAAAGCGGATGACATATTGCATGTTGGAGTGCAGGCGAGGCGGGTTGGCCTTGAGCACAACGTAGACCAGGGCAGACAGGAAGTCGTCGGCGTTGGCTGGCTCACTGTTGGAGGCTGAGAGCGCCTCGAACACGTGCTGGCTGCACTTGGACACGCACACCAGCTTGTCCTGAGGGGCGCGTTTGGCGTCCATCTCGATAATGGCTGTTATAGCGGGAAGAAAGGGGTCGCCCATGACGGCGCTCTGCACGTCCGGGAAAGGTACGCTGAGCATCTGCGGGGTGACCCAGTTCAAAGAACTGCCAAAAAGCAATACAATAGGAAATGAGTCAGCACCTAACTGCAAATATTGATGCCAACAGGACTCAAAAACTAGAAATTTGGTGTTTTAGATTAGAATGTATCCCACCAGGTATTTTTTAAATTAGCCTTATTTTTTGCAGGCATGATTTGTTTATATTTTCACTACACACGTTGCGATTTGGAAAAAAAAAAGAATAAATTAATAGAATTATAACAACCTAATTTCAATTGCCCATTCTGAATTTCAATTATTTTAGTTAATGAAATATCTTTTATTGCAAATGTTGAAAATTGTGTGTGCCAACTATTAACGCAAGGGATTATTAGAGGGAAATTCGCTTTTTATGTTAAACATTGAAAATGTCTATTTCTTACAATCTCATAAATGGAAGAAATGTAACTAAAACTGAATAGGGACACCCTGGAAAGAATACCAACCCGTCCCAAACAATGCAGGCTGATGATTCAAACACCGCAAACATGCAACTAAACAAAGAAACCTCAGGAATTAAAAACAACAAAGTATGGGGCAAAACTAACCGTATCCTCCTTTGCAAAATCAGGTCCTTCTGCTCGTCGTCACAGCTGTCATGGCAGAATACCCACTTGTGCAAGCGCGTCATGATGAGCTTCTCCACATGCTCCATCGTCTGAGTGAGCTCGGCTTCTGAAAACCCTGAAAAGAAAAATAAGAAAAAAAACAAACCCACAAGTAAATCCACAATTTCGAGGTTGGCTTAAATGAACGACTTGAATGGCAATGAGGTGATGGGCACTCACTGCTGAAATAGTCGGCAAAGGACTGGTAGAAGTCTTGCACAAGGTCCGACTGCTTCTGCACTGGCAGAGCCTACATAAAAACACGCGGTCAGAACAACCCAACGCCACATTCTCCTTCTCTCAATATGAGATGGTGATTACATGGTAAGCTTCCATTGTGTTGAGGAAGGCTGTGCAACGGGACTGCAGACGCTGGGAGGACGGGCTGCGGAGTGTTTTTAAGAACCCGGTGAAGTCTCCGGGTTCCAGCTTCTGGAAGGCTTTTAACACATTCATCTGACTGTCGGAAGGTTCTAAAGGGAGTGGTGGGAGGAAGAGCAACCAAAGAAGTTTCATAGCTGGCAAAGGAATAACCTCAAATTTGTGCTTTTAAGTATCCTTTACAGTCTGTGGACAAACATTTCACAGCCAGTCTTTGAAAGAACCTATGACTGGAGGAGCTTTAATTTGCATTGCAAGCAGGCTTGCCCATTGAGTAAGCTCGCCAGATGCTAAGGGTGCCATGGACTCTAAGGGTCACAAAAAAACAAAAAACAAACAAAAAAAAAAAAAAAAAAAAAGATACAAAAAAAAAAACAACCCCCCCCAAAAACAAAACAAAAAAAACCAAAGATACAAAAAAAACCCCAGCTGCAAATTCAACTCCAATATTATTATATTTAAAACCAATGATTACAAATAACTCTTAATTTCAAGTCAAGACGAAAGAGGAGTAAATTGAAATAAAAAGAAACAAATAACCAAAGAGGAGCGTGGTGAATTCATTTGAAATCAGCCATCCTGGCGAGGCAGAACCGTGGTTTATTTACTGCGCGTCACCTGAATTGTGTTGTTGATAATGTTCCTACCAGCTTTGGGAGGGGACGGGCTGCCCCAGAAGAGTCTCCTCATGGTGTTGATACGACGACCCTTCTCCATATTCTTCTTCTCCTCAAATTTGGAGAAGGTTGGTGGTGTGCTGTCAGCACCCGCTCTGCAAGAAGTCACCAACAGGAAGTCAGAGAGATCAGAAACTTGCTCTCTCACAGGTTTTCAGATATTTTGGGTGAGTCTGGAATGCATCTAACTTTTACATTGGTCAACTTCTTTGTTCCATTCTTTTTCCACTTGTATGACTATAAAGAGAGAACGTTCTTCAAATGCTCCCTGTACAGGTTTACCTGTTGTCTTGTCGGCGGGCTTCGGCAGGCCGCACTCGCTCCCTCCAGCACTTAGAGCAGAAACCCTGCCATGCAGGGTTGCCATAGTAACCACAGGAGTTCTTGCACAGGAGCTCCTGCTGAGACAGTCGAATCCCTCGCTGCTTGTCCGTCCACATTGTGCGTGTCAATCACTCCTTCCTGTTTTCTATGGGAGATGAAATCAAGCTTCTTGGTGGACATAAGGAACTACAAAAACAATGAAAAACATTTTGGAGCTACGTGGTTTTCGTTGGATAGTGATAATATGTGACACTGAGCTCAGTGTTACGATCTTCCAAAATTGACACGTCATTACTTTCTCTAATTTTTTATTATCTTGCACATAAAACAAAAAATTACAATATTTCCAAAACCTAACATATCTGACCTTTAAAAAAACGTATAAATTAAAAAAATAAACTTCTTATTCATTTGGAAATATAAATATGTTTTGTCAAAAAAAGTTATAAAACTTACTTTCCTACACGTTAGCATGTGATGTTACTGGCTTGAGATACATTTTTTTGTACAAATTTTTGTTGTAATATGCACTTTATTTTGTGTTATATCTTACTGATTTACAGTCTGGAATTATGTTCACACCGCATGTCATGTGTGGCAGGATTATGTTACAGTGGTGAAGGGTCAAAAGACTGCACATCAAAGTATTTGGTAAGTTTATACCTGTGATTGTGGTAGATAAGCTTTGTCTCAGACTAATTAATGCTTCATATGTGTATCCTATAATGCAGAATATATCTGATATTGTTTGCTGTAACGAAGATTGTTTGTGGAAAAATACTTTTAAAAAAGATCTTGAAAAATTTGATTCTTTTCCATAATCGTTCAGCCCGAGTTTTACCATGCTGTGTATTAATCAATACTATAGAAATATTTAATACAATATATTATGCAAAGAAAAGACCAATACATTGTAAAACCAAACAACAAATTTATATTCCATTGATTCATTTTTGATTGACTTTTTTTCCAATATTGTTCGCAAAATGGCAATAGTTGTTCCAGGCACTGACACAAAAGTCAAAACAGAGAGGACCGAAAAAATTTACAAGTTGTCCAAATAACTCTGCCGGACTTCCTCACACAACATCCTCGTACAATTAAACAACCGACGTTAACTCAATGTTAGACTTTGACACACTACACACTTGATCGCGTCACTCTTCAAGCTACGCCGACATCCAAAATGTTGAGAAAGTTTGTTCGTGTCTTATTAGCATTGCTACTTGCTAGCATCATTTTAAAGTAACTTAGCAGCTGACTGTCATTTGAGCCGGAGTGAGAGAACCGACGCCTAAAACTGGTAACTAGTGACTAAACCATTTCGGTTCAAAGATTTTAACCAATTTTGATGCTTCATCTGAGTTTTAGAAAGTTAACAATTCAATTTAAAGCCATACTTGTGTGAGTAGTATTACTTACCTGTCAAAAACGGAGATGGTGCAAGAACTTCACGCAGCAACAGCTGACTAGTCATGCGTGAAGTGACGTAATAAAAAGGCGCCCGTGTTGTCGATGAAAGATGTGTTGGTCCGTTCCAAAAGATTATATTTTTAAGAGTTAATGTAAGCAAAAGAGTGTTCAGCCCCCCGCACCTCGGTTGGCTACATGGGTCAGATCTCAGTCATTCCAATTTACACTGCTAATCCCTTAAAAAAGTCAAACCAATCTGTTAAACATTTCTTAATCAATCACCGACCTACATTTCTGATTTGTTATTAGATCCTTAATTTAAATATTAGTAACTGATTTTAGAAATGTAGATTTGTGGACGTGAAAATTTCCCCTCCCAAAATATAAAGGTAATATGGTATACTTTTTTTACTTTTGACTCAAATAGTTTTTTTTCCCAGCAATTGTAGATATTTTTTTTCACAGCATGCAGTTCTCAAGTTATTTCCAGAATGTAGCAGCCATTAAAATACCTCATGCAGTGCTCAATTAAGTTGGAAAGAAAATGTTTTGCCATTTATTATGCCTGCAGGAAACGTGGAAGACAATACAGCAGCATGTTCTAGGAGAAAATGTGTTTTATAAAATAGCATTGTGGATATTGTGCAAACATCTGTTTTGTTTAAAGAAAGGAAAACAAACAAACAAACAAAAACTTAAAATGACAAATGAGTTGCATGAAATGTATATCTCTGTGTATGCATGTATTTATCAAATCATTGAGACATAAAAATGTTAAAATAAAGTTTATAAAATGAGCTACACTGTGGAACAAGAGATTGTTTTCATTTGGAGTGTAGCTATTAGATAGCGAACTATTCATCTGTTATTTTACTATGCTGAACACGCTTTGTTGTCTTATTGTATAAGTGGTCACATACTGTACATTTTACAAGCAAAAAAGCCTTGATATAAAATGTGCGTTTTTACTGCCTGTGCACCGACGATCATAGTAATTTATACACTACATCCATACAATGGGCTCAACATAAGCAGGCAACATAAATTAAATAACTATACCCACAGTTGATTTGTATCAACAATAGTCTCTTTATGATTGTCTCTCCCAAAAGGTACATGAAAAGGAGTGCTGACAAGACAATTACATTTTTTTTTTGTTTCATGAAAGTCAACAGTCACGTCTATGGTGACAGGTCAGGCAAAAAACAAACAAACAAACCAAAAAAGTCTCAAGAACCCATGCTGTGAATCACAGATTGAAACAGATTTTGTCCTACTTGAATTGAGTCCTGCGAATGAGTGAGGCTTTCAAGTATGTCAGTGAAGTTCCATGATTACCCCCCCAAAACATATAAATAATTCTACATGGTCAGCCAGCTCCTGACCAAAGTTTTTGCGTGGTGGAGAACTTGTAATGCCAAATGCCACCTTATCTAATTTATCACAGTGCCACTCAGTGACAATGATGAGAATTGAATAGGTTATACATTCATATAACTATACAGTACATTCCCAAACCCAACACTAACTCAAACTCAAACTCCAATCCTAACCTTAACCTTAACTCCTCACCCACAAAGATTAAACTGATTCTAATCCTAAAATTAGAATTCCAATATCCTTCAAACTCTGTAAATTCACATGCAGTCCAGGAGTAAGGGTGCGTTCTTTGCCTTTTGCTAGACTAGCTTTTTTTGTGTAGTGTTTCATACAGCACTTTGCGTGGGATTAGCGACTCGACCAAACCTGTTGACTGGAAATAAGTTGTTTGTTAGGGGGCAGTCTGCTGTTTGGCCAAAATCAATGAGATACAGAAAATTGATGAATAATTGGACTCCAGAGAAAAGTGAAAAGACGAAACCTTTAAAAAAAAAATATGGCAGCAAATAAACAGAGAGTCTAGTTTTGCAAGGTGTGGAGAAAAGCTGATAAAGTCCTCCTTTTGATCAGGATAGAGAGTCTGCTGCATATAAGCCCTCTGGAGAAAAGTCCAGACTAACCAAAATGCCATTTACCTCCTTCAAGCAGAGACTGTCCCGATGAGCCGGTCTGCTCTCAGACCCCTAACTCTAAAATTAACCCTTCACCCCGAACCCTACTTCTTGTCTCAAATATCCTTCAAACATTGTCCATTCACAATTAGTTTTGGAGTATGAGGCCCCATTAATCTATGCCTGTAAATTTTATTGCAGTTTTTGTTCATGTGTGTTGTATTCCTTCACATTTTTGTGCGGGAGTGATTTCTGCACAGTGATCTGATTACCTGAGAATTTCAAGGGGCGGTTCACATCTTGCACTAACCCCTACGCTAAACCTAACCTTAACTCAAACGCCAAGGTCGAACTCTCAACCCAAGGCTGCAATTTCCTTCAAGCTAGGTACATTTGTATCCAGTCCTGCAGCACCAGGGCCACTCCATTGCTGCATGTACCTTTGATTGACTATTAACCTCATGTGTTGTGTAGTGCTTCACATAGCAGTTGACATGGGAGCATTTTCCGTTCGGTGACCCAGACTGTTGACAAGCAATCATACCTTGTTTTAGGGCTTTGCATGGTCTGCCAGTTGCCCAAAGTCGGTTTAGTCCAGCAAATTGATGGATTAGACTCCAACGACAACTTGACAGATCAAACCTTTACAAAAGGGTAGTTCGTAGCAGCAACAGATGATCCAGTTGCGGAGGGGGTGGAAATAAATTCCTCTGACAGGTCAGGATAGTGCCTCCAGTACCTTCACATTCTCTTATGAGGAGTTCAGACCAATTTACATTGTTCGCCATCTCCTCCTCAAAGCAGAGGCAGGCTGGCTCGTGGACTGCTCGACCCGTTTGCTCTGAGCTACCTTAACTCTCACCGTATCTTCGAACTCTAAATCTAAGGTTAGACTCCAAATTCCCTCAAACTTTGTATATTTGCACCTAGTGCAGGAGCATTAAGGCCAGTTTATCATTACCTGTACCCTTGATTGCCTTTTTTTTCTTCCGGTGTTGTTCAGGGTTTCACACAGCTGACTTAGTGTGGAATTTGATTTCTGCCAAATGACCAACATTCAACAGTTTACTGGTAAACTGTCCAAGGTTTAGGGTTTGGGGCTCAGAGGACTGTATGCTTTTTGCCAAACTCATTAGAGTACCACAAATCACTGAACGATTGAAATACTGTACATTGACAATGTGAAAGATGAAGCCTTTAAAAAAACTGCAGCGACGCAACAAGGAGGATGGGGAAGAGCCAAAACGTCTTCAAACAAGTCAGGATAGCAACTCCACCGCTTCCAACACCTCAGACGAGAAGTTCAGACTAACCAAAACGTTGTTTGCCATCGCCTCCTCCAAACAGAGGCTGTCCTGCTGGACCAGTCTGCTCTCGGACGTGGGGCTGATGACAACAATTCGAGGGACACCCTGCTGCTGCGATGCCTGCGGCTCGGCCGTCGAGGCTCGTCCGATGCACAGGGAGTCAGCCGAGTTGCTCTTGCAGCCTTGCGGCCTGTCGGGAATGGTTTTGTCCCTCTTTGAGTCTTTGTGGGTCAGACTGCGACTACGCCTCCTGGTAAGAACTAGTAGGGGGAGAGTGGCGCTGGTGAGCGTGCTAGAAACCAGTTCATGGTCACAGTTGCCTGATGACTCAGTCATGGTACATGGATGCTGGTGGTGGAAACAAATACAAAACAAAAAAACAAAAACAAACAGAAAGAAACATATGTGCATGAGCAATAAGAATGTGAGAGTACAGTACATGCAATGAGACAGTGATAGTCTAACAGTCAACTATAATAGTTTGTTCAATTATTGTTCAAGTGAGTGTAAACGGGGTAATAAAATGGTTGCAAAATCTCAATGTTATTTATTACACGTGGCAATTTCGGTACAGATTTTAGCAAGGATGATGGAAGATGACACATATGATTTGCTTTTGCGGGCCAAATAAAATGTCGTAGCGGGCCAGATCTGGCCCCCTAGCCTTGAGTTTGACACCAGTGGTCTACTGTATATCCTCAAACCAACCTTCTCCACTTTATGGGTGGTCTTGTGCTCCAGTGGCCTCCTGCAGGAGCTGCGTCTGCTGGACTGATGGTAGGATGACAGACTCCGAAAGGAATCTCCCGACTTCCTTCCGAAAGACTCCATCTCCACATCCCTTGGGACCTGCAATAGGTTATACAACCGATGTGGACACATTCATTAAGAATCAATAACTCAATTTTCGATTCCACATCATTAAAAAAAAAAAAAAACTGTACTTTTGCTCTGGTTTACATTGTTAAAAATGTTTGAATAAAGTTGAGTTGAGATTTGAATATGCTCCATTAATGAAGTGATTTGTTTCTGTTAAGACCATATTATATTGTATTTTGTTTACCATAGGTTTTGTTCATTTAGCGTAGCATTTATCTGTTTCTTTCGAAGTTTGCTCTTTGCTACACCACCCTCTGACCATACTGATTTGTATTTTGTTTGCCATATATTTTGTTAAAGTTGTAATTTGTTTCATTTCAGGTTTTCTCGTGCAGCATGCAGCATTGCTTTTGGGTTGAATGTAATTTTCTTTTCCATAGAATTTTATTTTCTTTGTTGTGGCACAATGCAAATACTTAAGTCGTGTTTATCTACCATGTCAGTCGGTTTGGAGGACGCTCTGATGAAGTGAGTCCTGGACGCGGTGGACTGGCGACTGATGGTGGAGTCCCTGAAGGAGCATTCGCTGATGGATGAGGAGGAGATACACTCCTTTCGAGGGGTGGGAGACAGAAACCACAAGCAGGGAAACTTCTCTGCCAGAGTCATCCTGAAAGCAGCAGAAATGAGAAAAACATATACAGACAGTGCAAAATTTACAGAATGCAAGATGACCTTTAGGACGTGATGTACAAAACCATGCCCCATCCTCTGCCATTGTATCCAGTGGATGCAGACGTATCATATAAAGAAGGTCTTTATTGACCCACTGCTTAATTGTGGAACGTGTCTGTTAGAGTGCAGCCAGCTGTTTGAGGTTTCACGATAGGAGGCTCCGATTGAGCTGATTACCTGTATTTATTATGAATGATGGCATAGATGAAAGGATTGTAGATCGTGGAGGCTTTTGCTATGATAGCTGGAACAGACTTGGAGTATGGCGACAAGATGTTGGCATGGCTGGATAAAACAAAGAGATAAAATCAGGTTGAATCATATGCAGCATTTCCATTGTCACTATAAAATGTTAACATCAGCTAAATGTCCTTTTTTTTAATTTAGTAGAGCATGAAAAAAGATGAATCCAACAGCTCAAAGTTAACCCTGATCTCTTGATGTTTTGTTACATAATCATTGGGTCATGCGCGTTCAGGGATTATCTGAAAATGTAGATTAAATCCATCTGTGTGTTGGTGACTTCCCCTTTGAATGAGTAGAAATCCGATATTGAGTAATATATTCATATATTGTTCACAATTTCACCAACTGTGTTTATATGGGCAAAGGCTGTTTGAGCGGATTAAAAACACTTGAAACACCCCCCCCCCCCTTTGTTACATAATCATTGGGTCATGCGCGTTCAGGGATTATCTGAAAATGTAGATTAAATCCATCTGTGTGTTGGTGACTTCCCCTTTGAATGAGTAGAAATCCGATATTGAGTAATATATTCATATATTGTTCACAATTTCACCAACTGTGTTTATATGGGCAAAGGCTGTTTGAGCGGATTAAAAACACTTGAAACCCCCCCCCCCCCCATCTACTCCTGTTCGCCCATCGTCTTTTTTTCAAACTTTCTAGGGGGCACTAGTGAGTCGGTTTTGGTTGAGCGTTTGAGAGCCTTAACATACATGTACATTATTTTAATTCAATTAGGTCAACAAAGTCATTCATTACCAATTTGTCTTGATGTAGTTTATTAAAGCAGTCTTACCCGGCCCATGAAATGAGTGTGACGCAGGCGTACGGTGACCAGGAGAGGACATAAACCACAATGACCACAAAGGCGATCTTGGCCAGTTTCCATTCACTTCTGATGGATTTCTGATGGATTAATGTGGATTTCCTCACCTGGGTGCCAAGTCTCTCTACCTCCCTGAAGACAAGAACATTAGTTCAGCGCGTTTAGCATCATTGGCACCTTGAATTTGAGCAGTTCGGTGACCATGATCGTGACTCAAATCACTTGTATATCAAATCAACTTTCCCCAATAAAATGAATGGAAATGTCTTCTTTCCAAATGTCTAAAAAAAACACCAACATAATTTTTAAAATAAGAAATATAGCAAAGTACAATATACTGTAATACAGGTCCAATTTTTGGTCATAGTAAGAAGCAAAATATCAATTTGCTTTATCACTCGCAAGTTGAGGTATCGGTATACCACAAACATGACTTCAGCCTCCTGCTCACCTGCTGGTCTTCCTGACAGCCAGAAAAATCAATAGGTAGCAGTAGAAGATGATAAGAAGCGGGATGAAGAAGACAAAGCAGCAGAGCATCATGGTGTAGCTCCGGTTGGCCGCTGTGTATGTGACGTAATCCCAAGTGCATGATGTCATCAGGCCCTCGGGGATGTAAGAGCCTACACAAAGTAAAATGAACTGCTTAATTGTGGAACGTGTCTGTTAGAGTGCAGCCAGCTGTTTGAGGTTTCACGATAGGAGGCTCCGATTGAGCTGATTACCTGTATTTATTATGAATGATGGCATAGATGAAAGGATTGTAGATCGTGGAGGCTTTTGCTATGATAGCTGGAACAGACTTGGAGTATGGCGACAAGATGTTGGCATGGCTGGATAAAACAAAGAGATAAAATCAGGTTGAATCATATGCAGCATTTCCATTGTCACTATAAAATGTTAACATCAGCTAAATGTCCTTTTTTTTAATTTAGTAGAGCATGAAAAAAGATGAATCCAACAGCTCAAAGTTAACCCTGATCTCTTGATGTTTTGTTACATAATCATTGGGTCATGCGCGTTCAGGGATTATCTGAAAATGTAGATTAAATCCATCTGTGTGTTGGTGACTTCCCCTTTGAATGAGTAGAAATCCGATATTGAGTAATATATTCATATATTGTTCACAATTTCACCAACTGTGTTTATATGGGCAAAGGCTGTTTGAGCGGATTAAAAACACTTGAAACACCCCCCCCCCCCATCTACTCCTGTTCGCCCATCGTCTTTTTTTCAAACTTTCTAGGGGGCACTAGTGAGTCGGTTTTGGTTGAGCGTTTGAGAGCCTTAACATACATGTACATTATTTTAATTCAATTAGGTCAACAAAGTCATTCATTACCAATTTGTCTTGATGTAGTTTATTAAAGCAGTCTTACCCGGCCCATGAAATGAGTGTGACGCAGGCGTACGGTGACCAGGAGAGGACATAAACCACAATGACCACAAAGGCGATCTTGGCCAGTTTCCATTCACTTCTGATGGATTTCTGATGGATTAATGTGGATTTCCTCACCTGGGTGCCAAGTCTCTCTACCTCCCTGAAGACAAGAACATTAGTTCAGCGTTTAGCAGTTCATTGGCACCTTGAATTTGAGCAGTTCGGTGACCATGATCGTGACTCAAATCACTTGTATGGCAAATCAACTTTCCCCAATAAAATGAATGGAAATGTCTTCTTTCCAAATGTCTAAAAAAAACACCAACATAATTTTTAAAATAAGAAATATAGCAAAGTACAATATACTGTAATACAGGTCCAATTTTTGGTCATAGTAAGAAGCAAAATATCAATTTGCTTTATCACTCGCAAGTTGAGGTATCGGTATACCACAAACATGACTTCAGCCTCCTGCTCACCTGCTGGTCTTCCTGACAGCCAGAAAAATCAATAGGTAGCAGTAGAAGATGATAAGAAGCGGGATGAAGAAGACAAAGCAGCAGAGCATCATGGTGTAGCTCCGGTTGGCCGCTGTGTATGTGACGTAATCCCAAGTGCATGATGTCATCAGGCCCTCGGGGATGTAAGAGCCTACACAAAGTAAAATGAAAATTAAGGATGTAGCTGTCATCACTAAAAAATTACAGCAATAATTCTGATCGAAACAACTATATATCACTGGATAAGCGCCTGTTTCCAAAATGGTGAGTCCAAAGTTCATTATCAAATAACAATGTCCTTTCCCTCATTGTAAATTGTAGCTTATGTTCGCCAAATTGTGATCCACAGCTGTTAGGTCCTTCTGCAAATTATAAAAAGGAGATTTTGCTTGGCGAAATGTGAGTCCACAGGTTATTATTGAATAAGGTTATATTACTTTGACTAAATATAAAGAGTAGTGCTCACTTGTCAAATAATGAGCCCACAATTATTTGCTTGCTGAAAGCCAGCACAGAACTAACTATTAAAGATACATTGTTTTAACTGTTGTAAACAGTGCCGTGTGCTTGTCCAAAGCTAATGATTAAATAACATCTTTTTATTACCCTTTATAAATGGTAGCTTGTGTTTGCCGAATAACGAGATCACAGCTATGATTACTTAATTTTATATAAAGTTATAGAATGCTTGCCAAATAGTGAGCCCAAAGTTCATCATTAAATAAAAGTCATATTCGACGTTATGAACAATAATCTGTGCTTGCCAAATGGTAAGAACACTGCTAAAGTTCCACTCTTTTGTTGATTGTACCAATATCTTGTGCTTGACAAATCGAGAGCCAACAGCAAATTTTGGATAACTTTGCCCATTATATTTACGAGTTTGTACTTGCCAAATCGTAAGCGCCGAACTAATGTTATAAAATTTTGCTTGTTCTAATTAGGATTGGGGCGGCCTGGTGGTCCAGTGGTTAGCACGTTGACCTCACAGTGCAGAGGTTCAATTCCAGCTCCGGCCTCCCTGTGTGGAGTTTGCACGTTCTCCCCAGGCCTGCGTGGGTTTTCTCCGGGTACTGCGGTTTCCTCCCACATTCCAAAAACATGCATGGTAGGCTGATTGAACACTCAAAATTGTCCCTAGGTGTGAGTGTGAGCGTGTACGGTTGTTCATCTGTGTGTGCCCTGCGATTGGCTGGCAACCGGTTCAGGGTGTCCCCCGTCTACTGCCCGAAGATGGCTGGGGTAGGCTCCAGCACCCCTTGCGACCCTTGTGAGGATAAAGCGGATCGGAAAATGAATGAATGAATAATTAGGATTGTGTGTTTGCCACAAAGTGCACCAGGCCACCACAACTGAAGTGACATTATTTTGCTTGCTATAAATAGTGGGTTGTGCTTGCCAAATAGTGATCCCACAACTAAAATTTTGATCTTTTGCCAGTTAAATAATAGCTTTTACTTGCCAAGTAGTGTACCCACAGCCAAAGTTACATCACTGTCCCTGCTATAAATAGTAGCATGTAGTGAGTTCAAACAATTTACGGGAAGCAATGATGCAGTGGTTCTTAACCGGGGTTCGATCGAACACCAGGGGTTCGGTGAATCGATCTCAGGGGTTCGATGGAGCCTCTGCCATGGAGGTTAAGACACACCCAACTCAACATGTCAATTAGTTATGACATCCCCGCTTGGCCATCACTGGCTGCAGATGATCACATTACATTGCTTGTTCAATCAGTGCTGTGGGAAATTTAGCTCACTGACTCGTGATTGTACATCGTGTTTTTTTTTTTTTTTTTTTGTCGAGCAAAAAAAAAAGTGTTCGGACAAATATGTACTACATGGATTCACATGCATCACAGGTTAAGAACCACTGCAATTGTATTGTTTTGCTTTTTAATTCCATGCTCGCGACACGCAGTACACTACATGTATACTGTATGTTTGGCGGAGATAAATGTGCTTTATCTTTGCCAAATCATGAGCTCATAGCCGTTGATACATCCCTCTGCCCATTGTAAAAAGCATAGCTTATGTTTGCCACATACCACGCCCACAGCAAGTGCATCATTATTTTGTATGCTGTTAACTATAGCCTGTGTTTGCCAAATAGTGACGCCAAATAAAGTTTTATGGAAATCCGCAAAGCAATTTTCTATGTACTTGTCTAAATTTATACTGATGACATACAATGTATTCAGTGTTTGCTTGGCTGAGTTAATGTGCTTTATCTGGCGTTAAATGTGGTCGACGGCGGAAAGGGACTCACTCCATCCAACAAGAGGAGCCAGACTCCAGGCCAGTGCATAGAGCCAGACAGAGATGATGGCCAGCGTGGTTCTTTTCTTGGAGCTCCAGTGGATGGTCTGCAATGGTTTGGTGATCACCATGTAACGGTCGATGGAGATGGCCAGCAGGTTTATCATGGAGGCGATGCCAAACAAGGCACCGCAGAAAGCATACATTTTACAACCTGTGTGGCAATCCAGATGTTTAATACTTTGGATGTTGGTTTGGAAGTACGTATGATGTAGGATGAAATTACCCATCTCTCCAAACACCCATTCTTTGTAGAGGCAGTTGATGAAGAAGATTGGTGACTGCGTGAAGGCCATGAGGAAGTCGCTTACTGCCAGGTTCATGATGAAATAGTTGGGCAGGCTGCGAAGCTTTTTGTTGCTGCACACACACACAAATGAGATGTTCTTAACGTACAATTTATTACAAGGCAGTAAATGATGAAAATTTGTACAGTTGTACAATTTGGCCACCGAAAAACAACACAAAACTAGGAAAAGCCACAGAAAGAGCAATAATTGTCCTGCTAATAAAACAAAGAAAATCAAAAAACATCATGGAACATGACAGGACCAGCATTTTTTATTCTGCAGAAAGCCAAATCCTACTATGCGGTTTTTCACTTTTCGCAGGAGGGTCCAATACCAATTACCCACGAAAAACAAGGGATTACTCTATTTAGAAAAGCTCTACATTAAGACAAGTTTTGAATAGCAACTACAAAACAATACAATACATCCTGATTTATATCGCGCTTTCACAACAGCTGCAGCTGTAACAAAGCGCTGAACAAAACAGTTAACATAAAGTAAAACAATAAACACAACACATTGTGATAAATTCGTAGTTTGCTGGAATTAGGGACTCACAGTTCCCACCCTCCTGATAAGCAAATAAATAAAATAGTGATGCGAGCCATGCCAAATGTTATTTTGATAATATGCTGTGTGCTGCTAAAAAAATAGAAGGCGGGCCACAAATGGCCTCCTGGCCATAGTTTTGACCTCCCTGGTCTATATATCCTTTTGCACTTTATAAATAGTAGCTTGTGTTTGCCAAATGGTGATCTTTCAAATCAATATTAACTAATGATGTTTCCTTCCTTCTCCATTATAAACATGAACATGGCTTGCCAAATAGTGGCAGCCACCAATCTTCTCCTATTTCCTCTTACTGTATAAACCAGAATGGGCAAACTACGGCCCGCGGGCCGGATCCGGCCCGTTGGTCTTTTTAATCCGGCCCGCCGAAGGTTGGTACAGTACACAATTAAGGTTCGATTTAAATTATTGCATTCATTTCATTTGGACTTGTAATACAGGCATTTAAACGCCAGGTGGCGCAGTTACTTGAAGTCGCAGAGCACAAGGAGGGAGGGGGAGACGATACGGAAGCCCGGAGTAGCACTAACTCAAGTAAGTCGCGCTCGATACGACGAAATAGATGTATCCCCACCGCTATTTTCTGTCATTGGATCCAAAACGGCGACATGCAAGCGACTCTTTGTTGCAGTGAGTTTTACTGGAATTGCGAAATTTTTACATCCTATATTAGAGCATGGCATCCAAACAAAGAGGAGCGGTAATGGCCGCGGAAGAGAAAATGAAGTGTATCTCATTAAACGAAGCGGGTTACGAAGTACGAAACATTCAGGAGACGCTTGGAGGAATGTAACACACACACACACACACACACACACACACACACACACACACACACACATTGAAACATGCATGAAAACGTCCACCGTGAGATAATGTGTTCTCTTTAGACTATTGCATCGATGTGCTCGATGTGCATGACCTAAATAATATTCCCGCTCTTACCTAAACTGTGGTGGCAATGCCGGTAACTTTGTAGACTGTGTTAATGTGTCAGTTACCCGAAGTAACAGGGTGCATCCAACAACATTGCAGCCATGCTTGGTTTTTGGCGTTGGTTCCATTTCCGAATGCTTCACTTCGATTAGATTTGAAGTCAAGTACAAGTGTTCAAATAAGCCTTGGAATGAAAATAAAGGCAGCGGTACCATGAGCCAATGTGCTGTTGTTGTTTTTGGAAATAGGATTTGTAGCTTGACTAAGTTTATATTTTTCTTTTTGCCTTGATTTGCGAGCAAAGATTTCAAATTTTTTACTCTTAGGCATATTACAGCACTTTTGGAGCATCTGTAACCTTAGATAACATTTGCAGTGCATTCACTGTTTGGCAAGCACAAGTTACTATTTATAATGGGCTATTAAAACATTAGCTGTGGCCTCATAATTTATCAGACATATGCCAGATGCAGAAAAGATTTAATATTAGTAGTGGGCTCAGTATTTGGTAAGCACTTAGTTTTATACTAGTTTATACTATAAACCATGTCCAAAGTCCGGCCTCAGGGCCAAGTGGTGCCCTTGTTCAAATTTCTCTTCAAAATGAATAATATGTGGCCCGTTGGCACTGTTTACTACAGTAGAAAATAAACGTCCAAAAAAGCTATATTATATTTCACCAGAAGATGTGAGTAAATCCACTCTCAGGTGCATTTGGAAAGACTTTTTTAGCAAGCTCTGCCTCTCCAAACACACCACTCTCACAGTGTGGCAGTGTGGTGTTTGGTGTTAGGGTGAATTTCCGAACATACTCCTCGTTGCATGACCCATGACAGTTTGTCTTGAAATAATGACGGACTGACAATGACGGATGGGTACCCAGGCCAGTATGACAACAAATATTAGATACTTTTGCCCACCATAAAAAGTAGCTTGTGCTCAAAGACAGCAACGTATTTTTGCACTGTGAAGACAAGAGAGGAAAAGCGAGTTTTCACATCAAGTATTATTCCGGATTAGGCATCGCTCGTTCTGATGGCCAGTGGTGCAATTTGGATTAGAATCTAAAGCCTGTGTGAGCCAGAACTGTTTGGTACCACTTTTGAGTGATGGTGACCCAAATGTCAGCTTGTCATCAGATCTGTCCGCTAAAGTGCTTACCAAATACTGAGCCCACTACTAATATTAAATCTTTTCTGCATCTGGCATATGTCTGATAAATTATGAGGCCACAGCTAATGTTTTAATAGCCCATTATAAATAGTAACTTGTGCTTGCCAAACAGTGAATGCACTGCAAATGTTATCTAAGGTTACAGATGCTCCAAAAGTGCTGTAATATGCCTAAGAGTAAAAAATTTGAAATCTTTGCTCGCAAATCAAGGCAAAAAGAAAAATATAAACTTAGTCAAGCTACAAATCCTATTTCCAAAAACAACAACAGCACATTGGCTCATGGTACCGCTGCCTTTATTTTCATTCCAAGGCTTATTTGAACACTTGTACTTGACTTCAAATCTAATCGAAGTGAAGCATTCGGAAATGGAACCAACGCCAAAAACCAAGCATGGCTGCAATGTTGTTGGATGCACCCTGTTACTTCGGGTAACTGACACATTAACACAGTCTACAAAGTTACCGGCATTGCCACCACAGTTTAGGTAAGAGCGGGAATATTATTTAGGTCATGCACATCGAGCACATCGATGCAATAGTCTAAAGAGAACACATTATCTCACGGTGGACGTTTTCATGCATGTTTCAATGTGTGTGTGTGTGTGTGTGTGTGTGTGTGTGTGTGTGTGTGTGTTACATTATTCAATTCATCCAATCAGTGCACAGGACCGTGTTGCACATCAACCAAAGAGAATGCGTTCGCTATATGAGAACGAGTAATATGTATGTGCATATTGTGTGTGTGTGTGTGTGTGTGTGTGTGTGTGTGTGTGTGTGTGTGTGTGGACACAATGGCGAATCGTTTTAATCTACAGTATCCGTCACTGTGATGTGGGGGGGGGGGTGGTATGAAAGCTCCTGACGAAAACATCCCCTTAACACAAACACACATGCACACATGCTGCGAGAGTGCATGCTCACACATCAATTCCCCTTCTGACCCATTTCCTCTTCCAAGAACCTGTTCACATCAGTCGGAACAGGAAATAAGAGAGCCGAATATGCAATTCAAATATGCTGTGGAAAAATTTAAGGGAAAATCTACAATAAAAAGGGAAATATACATGATTTTATTCCTTCATATAGGGAAACAGATTAATTTTATTTGGTTATTTAATCTGCGATAAAAATACAACTTTTAAAGACACTTGAATTTCATTGGACAGTCGAATACGATAGGGTACATTGAACTACGGGTATTTTTATGGACATAGAGTGTGTGACATTTGTAGTCACTCATTCAGAAAAATATTGATAGCACAATATGATAAAGGGTCCGGCATTAAGCCTTTTAGAGCAGAAGCCCCGTGGGGCCAGCAGGAGCCACATTGTGGTGGCCCTGTCAGGATCAGTTCAGGTCCCGTATATTCTTGATATAATATCATACATTTCAGTGATTATTTCATATATGGTGTTTTATTTAAGACTTTTTGAAAATATTACTTCCGTGTAGCGCATTGTTTTGCAGATGTAAAAAAGCAAGACAGTTATTTTGAATGAAATTTCTATGGACCTGTCGGGCCAGCGTCTGTAAGATACATGGTGGCGCGAGACTGGCCCAGGGCTATCGGGCCACCAACAATGTCGGACTGCGTAATACGATTTGCTACCTTACGTTATGGTATACTACGATATAATACAAGAGGAATGCGACATGATACAGTAAGACAATACAGTAATCAATCCTACTGCGCGGATTTCCATCTTTCTCCATTAACCGTGAAAAACGAGAAATTACTGTACAGTATAGGGAATAATTCATACACTAAAATAAGACTGAGATAAAACAAACGCAAAAAAGATGAAATGGTTTGTAGCACGATACGCTGTGATGCGATACAATGCGATACGAAGAGATGCGAAACAAGACAATAAACTTATCGCAATAAAATAAGCTTTGATCAAATGAGACTGCGTGTGGTATGTCATTATGTGTTCTAATGCAATGTGATACGACTAGCTCCATCAAAATTAGCTACAGTTATACAATTTTTTTATAAAATTAGATTAGGTGTAGCATATTGTATTAGGGGCTGATATGGAACATGCATGCATGCAATGTGGAAGAAATTCAGAGTACTTGCAGAAAACCCATGGAAGGGAATAAACACACATGCTATCACCAATAATATCGCATAGAAACCTAACAGCGTACCAAAGAAAAGAAAACAATGTTACGGAGTTAAGCATGTTGATGTTGATGTATGTTGACTTTTAATGGCTGTTGCTGCATCGGTATTGTCAGAACGTATTCCGCCTATTACAGACCCACTTCCAACTGAAATAAGTCAAACACAGTATATCCGCCACCTTGCTTACCTATAGAACGCAAACATGACCAGCGCATTGCCAGTGACGCCCAGCGTGCCGATCACCAAGATGAAGGCGGCCACCACGTAATGCGCGTGGTCGGGCACGTCCGCCTTGTTGAAGAAGTTGCTCGGGCTGTGCGCTCTCTCGGGCTCCATGCTCTCAGTGGACCGCGTCATGGTCGTCAAGGGGGACATCCACTTCCTGCGTTCTGACCTCCATGTTCAGACCGTTCCCTCGAGCTGACTCTTGAGAGGAAAGTTGCAACGGCAAGTTCACAAGTGGTCCAGAGATGAGAAAATGTCCTTAATTTGAAAGCGTCTTCACAGAAGAACTGCTGATGTCCTCCTCCGGCGTGCCTTCACACCAGCTGTGCACCACACTCTTTCATCATTTCTCCTCCTCCCATCACCTCTCTCGCTCTCTCTCACTCTCCCTGCCCAGCCTTCATGTCACCAGGCCCGGCCCTGAGCCATAACACCACCCCTCTCCTCTTTCCCTGACAGATGCTTACGTAACGCGCATCCTGATTACAATCAACAAGACGCTGAGCATCAAGTCGTCATTGCGGGCCGCGTGGCTCGCGGCTGGAACCGACACGCATGCAAAGAGCACCCATGGAACCAGGCGACTAATTGGCGCGGCCCAATTATTCAGCTTGAAATTACTGCATGAGCCACACACACACACACACACACACACACACACACACACACACACACACACACACACTCTGGTTTGGGCTTGTCGTGCACTTGCAAGTAGGCTACGCTTGGCCTTTTCACTCTCCGTGCAGCTGTTTAGACTCATCGGAGTGACGCTTCTGTAAAGTTTGCTTCAGAAACTACAGCAAGATAGCAGAAATATGTCAACTAACCAGCGTTTTTTTTCTTAGGCGGAAAAACAACTGCTGCAATAAAGTGGTCAAGAAAAAAAAAGTACATTTATCTCAAAGTCAAGTCAAATTGACTTGTGTAGGCCTCTCAAAAGAATGTCAAAAGGCTTCACCAGATCACATTTGACAAAAGAGTAACATCATCCCCCGAACCTACCGCATTTCCCGCAACCCCCTCAACTCCCATCCCACCAGAACTGCATCGTGAATCCCCGCCTATTTTGCAGTTCACTGTTTGCCTATTCATGTTTCCTTTTCCTGTGGAATCTATTCTCAGCGATGTGCTGAAAAATTCTTGAATGCCCTAAGACACTTTTCTCAATCTTTTTATACACTTTTTCACCCAGGTAACCTCCAAAAATATTTAGCTCTCCAAGTATCACCATAATGGTACTGGTAAAATTGGAAATGATTTCGTGTAGCAGGTTTTATTACGATACAGTCATAAAATTATTTTGTGTAAGCCGCTTTAAAAATATGCGCAGTTGTAACATGAATCTTGCGCTTGAATATATGAAAACAAAAAACAAAAAAATGACTATTGAAAAGCTCAAGTGCAAGTGCTACACGTCATAGCAATACCCAAACACGATGCAGTAAACTGTTTGGATGCTCATCAAATGTTTCGTTGGCAATTCCATGACATCACTGTTGTGATGCTTGACAAATGTACCATCATTATTTCATTCACTTTTTTTTTTTAATTAAAAAAAAAAAAGAGTTTTATATATATATATATATATATATATATATATATATATATAAGTGAAATCCTTATATACTTTTTGTAAATGTGGCTTGACTTCCATGCAGTTTTGTACATTGCCCACCCCTCTTCTAAAAAGTGCTTTGGAGACTACCAGCGGGGGATGTGTGGTTGGTTGGAGAATAGGCCACATTGGCAGCTCATTGCTTTTTATGGTGCTGGAAACACCGATAAAGAGAGATGAAGGTGGGGGGCCGCGGGTGGTTGTGGGGGTGAGGAATGCAGCGTTTAGACATAAAGTAAGACAGTGTGGGCAGGGATTGCCTTAATCTGAACACTGTTGCATGAATGTGGCCCACTGCAATAAAAACATGACAGCACTCTCGACATGCAATGTGTATGTGTAAACATTTGAATGTGAATGTGTACTTAATCACTCAACACATGGCAGATGTGTTCAGGGATTATTTCGCTGATGGAAACTAGTATTTACCTTTATGTCACAAATATTTTATGATTGTGCAATACATTTCATCGAAAGATTAGTGTTCAGAGAGAATATGCGCCAGAAATTGCAAGATAATAGCATGGATCGGCAGACTTTTAATCGGCCAATAAACCATATTTGGTAGGTGGACCCGAACGCCTCATTGAAAACACGTCATGTGCAAAGAAAAATCATAATAAAAATGACAATTAAGATTAAAGAGTTTTACATTTCGATCCATCCAGTGTGCTGGATGGATCGAAATGGAAACTGGAGTACCCGGAAAAAACCCACGCAGGCATGGGGAGAACATGCAAACTCCACACACACATGCAAACTCCACACACACACAGGGATGATTATTATTTCTAATCCCAGACTGCTTTCCAGTGCAGTTGAGCGCAGTGGAAGATAACAACATCTGAAGATATATTGAAGTGTCACCGTGTATACTTTTGCAAAGCAATTCCTCAAATGGCTGTTGAAGACATCGGTGTTGTCTAATATTACCTGTGACGCTGCACTGGATCCACCTTGCGGGGGGCTCAAGTGGCTGCCATTGACCTTTTGTCCACGGAAAAAAAAAAAAAAAGTGGCCAATGGTGTCAACTTGACGGCGTGGACAATGCAGGTCAGCGTTTCACACGTCAATGAGTCAATTAACATGAGGGAGCAGCTGATCTCTACTGGTGTGAATGTCCAGTTCAGGGATGACAGGACGCCGCGCTGGGCTTTTGTGCCACAGCGTCAGGGGACCGACTAATTACTATTGAGCGCTGGGAGCGGGACAACCAGCCTGCAGGCAATCGATACGGTGACCTGCCAGAGAAGTGAACCACTGTATCACAAAAGTCAAATGGCGTAAAACTATTCCGTTGCGTTCATAGTGAAAATTCACAAGAGGCTTTGTCGGCTCGGCATTTCTTTATGCGTCTGAATTACGATGCAAGACAACAGGGGTAGGGAACTCCAGCTCCTCGAGAGCCATATTCTGCTTCTTTTAGATCCTTCTCTACTCTGACACACCTGATTCAATTGCTCGTGATCATTTCAGGCCTGCACGCAGCTTGCTGATGAGCTGATCAAGTAGGGATCTAAAACAGGCAGGATATGGCTCACGACGGACCGGAGTTCCCCACCTCCTGCACTACAGTTTCTGTCCCTAGTTTGTTATGCAAATAGATTAGCAGGCATGACTGATGCACATGATTGTTTTTCACCGGCTTAGGTGACAAATTTGATTGACCCAAGCGAACTCTGCCTAGCAACAAGTGACCACCCAAACATGCAAAGGGCTAACTTGTCACCATTATGTGCCTTGACTTTAGGTTAGTCCGATCTGATGTTGCTCCTTTTTGTTTCATTGTATTTCATAGCTAATACAGAGTAGTGGTTCAAGTACAATGTGGAATGTGTTTAAATAGATCCATAATCATTATAGTGTCTTCATTCTCATTGATTCCTGTGGTAGAGGGTCTTTAATGCTCACCCTAAATTTTCGCCTATTATAATAGTTTCTCATTCAAACCATGAACCCAAAACACTTAAGTATAATTTTCAAACATATTTATAACATTAGCCTTAAAAATAAGTAGCTTACAAGTGATTTGATTAAAAATGATCTCTTTAATTAATCAATTCTCTCTACCTTCATTCTTATCAGGGTCATAGGGTTCACTTTTACTTTAATTTGTGTGTGTGGGGGCGTGGCTTGGCTGTCCTGAGCCTTTGACAGACTCTCATTTATAGTTAAACGAGAAATTAATATGTGAATAATGCATACAGTGTAAAGTAAGAATCGTATTTATATTAGCATCTGTTTCCTGTTCTAAGGGCAGCGCGTCACAAAAACGTGTAAGAAAAACTATTTCATTCTTTTCGATGCTGAAATCCCACAAAATCTCACAAGACATCCTGACATGCGGTCAAGCCAAAGAGGAAAGGCTGCATCATAGAGTATAGAGCTTTAGGGCTCAACAAGTAATGTAGTCTTAAGCCTCTTTAATACTGTGTGTGTGTGTGTGTGTGTGTGTGCGTGTGTGTGTGTGTGTGTGTGTGTGCGTGTGTGTGTGTGTGTGTGTGTGTGCGTGTGTGTGTGTGTGTGTGTGTGTGAGTGTGTGTGTATGTTGCGTTATCCAAGCCAGTGGGAATGTAGGTTATGGAAGAAACATTTTGCAAAATGCAGATCAAAGGAAACACTTCCATAAATGGAATGCATTTCAGTCAATAGCAGACCTTTCATGATCCCGTCCCATCTCTCATGGTCTTTCCCCAACCTTTGATGTGACAAGGCGCCCCCACTGTACATTACAAATATCTCACAGCACACCACCAAACAAATGTCACAAAATGGACAAGTATTTAAATAATGATGTGACTAACGGAAAACAAAGCTGATACATGAAATGCAAAAGGTGGTTGGGCACACAGGATTATTGTGCCCTTTGCCCTCGAATGGAAGAGGATTTAATTCTTCTGCCTGTGTGTGTCGTTGGCGTAGAGAGAACTGTCGATGAACAAAGTGTTTTTGCCTCAATGAAGTGAAATTGGATGATTTCCCAAGGTATTCTTGATGATTTCTCACGGGGATACTAGGATGCCACAAAACCTGGAGGAGAATCGCTGCCCTATGAAATGAAAGCGAAGGGATTACCATGACGTGCTGTTATTAGGAGACTTGAGGGCACCGGACACATTAGATGATCAAAATCATCCAGTTCAAAATTCCTGACATTTTTATTTTGATGATTTTGGTTCCTGTGTTTAGCTACATAATAGAGTCAAAATATTAGAAAGTAGTTGTACAGTAGTTGTATGCGATTGCTGCAACTTGAGTTATAAACATATTGATGGTCTAATAAGGCACATGCTGAATAGGAAAATATAAGTTGTGATCTGACAAGAAAAAAAAACCCTCCATACCTGATGAAATTGCTTTATTTATTTTTCAAAAAAGTAATTATTTATTATTTTAGTAATATAAGTGGTATTTTTAAAGAAAAAAGTCCTAATGTTGCACAGATTTTTTGTGAGGAAAAAATAAGATAAGATAAGAAAACCTTTATTAGTCTCGAAATCTCACCCTTTTTAAAAAATTAACACATTTTCAAGAAAAAGGTTTTTAGTATTTTGAGAAAGACAAAACAATTGATTATTTCACGAATCTTAGAGAAAAGCGTCTTAACAATAATAAAGTTGTGTTAAAAAATGTTTTGTTTTTGTTGGTACTAAAGCAGTCATAGTTTTGTATGTGCTGCTCTGTGTCTACGATGGGGCCTCCCACGTGCATCACAAAGGATGTGAAGCAGTGGACTTTTTTGGCTGCACAGATTCTCCCATCAACTTAAGTGTGTCACAAACACGCCTTCATGAAATGTGCGTACTCTGGGTGGAGTGAAAATGAAATGAAGGCGTTCCCTGTTTATATCTCTCCGCAAAATCATGCGCCTTTCCTCTTGCACGCTCCAGAGGCTGTAGTTGGTGAAACAGCGGGTGATGACTGTTCACCGGTTGATTCGTGCTGACGTGCGGACCAGGCAAAAGCATTTGCCTTCACTCCAAAGTGACCGTTATTTATACCATTTAAGATTCTTTCGAAACAAATAAAGAATTAAAGGCGTGACATTTACGCTCTGATAACAGTTGAGGTCTAAAAAGGCTTTTTAGAAAATCACATGATGGCGACTGCTAGGTGGACCTAAATGTCATTCCATCATATGCATTCATTTATGTAAAATGACCTATATGTATTCATTTATTTAAATAAGATGATTTATGTGCATTTTTCTTGCAAACCTATTTATTTGTATTGACTATATGTAGGCATATATCACATTTTGTGGCATTTCGCAGACAAGAAAAGTTTAAAGTTGTACCGTATTTCTTTAAATGAACCTCATTCTTACTTTATTTCTTATTTTTTATGAATGAATTTGTGCTCATTGGACTGATTTGTCCCTTCAAAACTATACAGTACAGTAAAACGCCTTAATTAACAGAGCAGTCACTGTGAAATAGCATTCCCTCAGGGGACTTATGCTGCTCACAATCCTTACACGGTGTCCCAAATCTCTTCTGCAAATGAGGAAATGTGTTCTTGGAAGTTCACTGTAGTCTCTAATCTTTTGTGCAAAGGATTAGTGTCATATTTTTTATTTATTTTTTGTATGTGTTTGTTCATTGTGTCGTTGTGTGTCACAAAATAAACAAATCTCGTTTGTGTTGGGTTACCCAATGAAACAAAAGGCTAGTATATTGGATGGGATTATTAACGTACTGAGCCACCGCAGAATATTTTCGAAAATGAGTTGTGTAAGAAATATGTAATAATATGTAATAAACATGCTACAACACAATTTTGCATTTAATCGAAAAAAAAAACATTTTTAATGCATAAGTAGTTATTTATGAAAATTTTCAGCTATGTTTGGGGAAAAGAATTTGAGTGAGCAGTTTTGGATGGTTTGGACTTGTCCAGAGGAGGGACCGAACAGAAAGCAGTTGCACCGAACCGAAACATCAAATATATACCTGTATATATATACATGGAGCGCACTTGTATACAGGTAGTGCTTGCGCGGTTAACTTTGCTTAGTGCTAGCTAGCTGGTTCAACTGAAGACAGATGGATTTGTAACTTAACCAAAAGCAGTCCAACACGCTGGGTTCTACTGTTGCCCAATGTATGGCGATGGTCCATAGAGGTTAAAGTAAGTTCTATGACGTTTCTGTAGGTTTATGCAGCTAGTTCTCAGCCGCAGAGGTTCACTCTGACATGTTGACCATCAAATCGGACTTCAGAGAGGGCAAGACATTCTATGTGCAACATGGAGGTTTACCATGGACCTATTTGTCACTAGTGTGTGTGTGTGTGTGTGTGTGTGTGTGTGTGTGAGTGTGATGTAATACAATCAAACCTAACTCAATAGAATATTCCACTGTGCGGTACAGAGCATATGCAACGTCAAGCGAGGCATAGAGCAGGGATGCCAAGACATTGGAACCCGGTGTAAGGCACATCAGGGATGTGGGTTAATTAGCTGCTAAGTAGCTGCTTGCGTCACGAGGAGCTCTAAATTAGACATACTTTTACATTGACATGCTTTGAGAGGGGCAGAGAATATCTTGAATTCATTTGAAAATCACCACTAAGGCTGAATGCTAATGCTTGGAAATGAAAAATACAAAATGTGACCTGAGTTTAGCTTGCATCACTTAGATTTCCTATCATGTTCAGAGGGATTGTTTTATTGTTTTCAATGTTTTACGGTGGTTAACCACATCTCCATCTTCTATAAATGATGATGTCCATCAACCTGATGCGTACGTTGGCATTTCATCTTCACCACTGGACAATGTAGCTTCACTTCACTCTGACGTCACCGAACTGCCTGAACCTGAAGACCCGCATCTTATCGAAAAAAAATAGAAGAGGCGCAATAAAGGGAAGCTTGTGGAAAGCTTTAAGTGTTTCTGTGAATTACTGTCTTTAAAAAGCCTCCCGCAGCCACCAACAAAACATCTTTGCAGGACTAATTGCTGATTTCCAGACCACCTCAATGACATAAGGCACCCTATTTTCGAGTCGGTGCAAATCCGACGCAGTACGCAATCTGGGCAGAAGCGAGTTAGACTGGGTGTTAATTTCACTGACTTATGGCGTATTTTAAAAAAGTGGGCTGTTTGCGCCGCAATGAGAGTGAACACAGCCCACTCCATTCAGTGTCAAACAAAATTCTGAACTGCCTGAGTTGCCTCCACCTCAGAACGAGAACTCTGATGCATGCCCTTCTTTTGTGTATGAATCTGTCCAATTCTTTCTTTTTTTGTTTCACTTCTGTCTGCTAAGTCTTATGCTCAGTTGTTGGCAAACAAGGGATGGGCATTTTTCATTTTCTGATAGTGGACATTGCACCATAGTTTCAGCAAATCTCCTGAGGCCCATGGTAACGGGTCAGTCCAAGGCGGTGGACAAGTGACTCAAGTCAAGTCAACTGTATTTATACAGCACAAAACAACCACCGTTGTATACAAAGTGCTGTGTATGAACCAAAAATAATTCATACAACAACAAACAATAAATTAACAAACAGTAAAACTAAAAAATCAAGTTTCATGCTGAGCCAAAACCCAAAGAATAAAAAGGAGTTTTAAAAATGAGCAGCTAGGGGGCTTGCTCAACGTTCAGTGGGAGGTCATTCCAAAGAGAGGGCCCAGCAACGGAAGAGGCTCAATCCCCTCTGAGCCTCCGCTTAGTTCTTGGTACCTCTAATAGTGTCTGGTCCGTAGAGCTGAGGCACCAGGCAGGTGCCTAGGGGAGCTGAGAGAGGTAAGGTCAGGCGAAGCCATTTAAAGATTTGAAAACCAACTAGAACTCTAAAATGAAGAGGGATGCCAGAGTAAGTGTTATGCACTCCGTCTAACGAGACCATTTAAGAGGTGAGCAGCAGCATTCTGGACCAACTGGAGACGCTTAATGGAGGATTGCATTGCAGTAATCCAGCCGAGATGTGACCATGGCTTGAGTTACTGTTTCAAAGTGCTCTTGAGAAAGGAGAGGCTTTATTTTAGCCATCTGCCTAAGATGAAAAAAGCTGAATTCAACAAAGGCAAAAATTAGCCGGTCCAATTTAAAATCACTCTTGCAGCTATGAATGTGCCCGCGTACGAGAAATGAAAGTCACGTCTTCTGTCTCTGATTGATTGGTTGTTATTTCTCGGGCGAGTCTGTTTCTGCACATCAAATTAGAGTCACAAAATGGGACCAGAGAGGGCAGATTTTTTTTTTTCACAGATCATTTTACTCTTGTACGACTGCCAGGTCAGACTGACACTTGTACGATATATGACAAAAAGTTAATTTTGGGCAGGGAAAATTGCAAAATCCCGTTTAATTCATAATTGAAAAGGACAATTGCAATCCAATTTTAAAAACTGAGATGTCAACATATCAGTTGCCATCATTGAAAAAAAATGTTTAACATCTTATGAAAAGCAAAAATTAAAAATAAAAAAAATACTAAGATTGCTGTCCACATATCTACTGACAATTAGTTTTTACAAATAAAATAAGTCACACATCTTGTTTCAGTCTTTCTGTTTCAATGTGACACGCTCATTAAAATGAAATAAAACGGCCACAGGTGATTACTGACATTCGCTTTATTTTTGCTGAAAACAAACTGATGTTGCTGTGTGTTATTCGCTGCTGACTCATGACTGTCAATATGTCGAATTTCACCTCGCGTGGCCCAACCAACTCATTTGGTGCCACTGGAATAGTGCCTGAGATACAAACAGGAATACAACAGAACCATAGATCAGAAGATCCAGATTTGTTCCTGTTCCTGCTGACCATCTGTTCCAGGGGCAGATATTTTGCCATTCGGCTTTGTGGCCGTGACCGATAAATGACATTTTTTAAGTGGCTTGTGGTACAGTGAGGATTGAACACTAATACAATCCAACTCGCAAGTGACTGAGAACAGGAACAGGAACTTGAGTCATGCTGTGCATTTACGATACCAAATCTGCTCACTGGATTCTATTTGATTTTCATTGTTACGTTTTAGAATGAATTTATATGTAAGTCTGTCTGATTTCCGGATCGTTTTGCTGTTCCTGACTTACTGGTCCTGTTCCTGCCAACTCTGCCCAGGTGCCTGGCCGTGACCAATTCATGCCAATTTTCTCTCGATGGCCTACGGGGCAGTTCCAATTGTGCCCTTTCAACAAGAAGCTGGAGTAAGAACTTCAGCCATTCTGTTGATCTATGATGTTTCCTGTGCTTGCTCGATACAATTTCTTTCCTGTTTTATAGGGATTGCATGTCTGATCTGACTTCCTGTTCATGTCAGCTCTCTGTCCAGCGGAGCAGGAGTCTTTTTTTTTTTTCCTTATTGGCCGGTGGGGCAATTACAACCACACCCAACGGATTCTCCCTCACAACAATAAGCGTCCATGAGCAGCAAGAGGAGCTGGCGAGCATCTCTCTGTATAAAACCATCAGGGCGTACACTAAAAACACACAAACGCCGCTACACGCTCCACTTTGGCCGACTATCGCTTTATCTACACGAGCACGAGAAGAACACAGAAGAAGGGCTTGAAAAGTGAGTGAAGGTCCCTAAAGGCCCTAAGCAAATCCCCTACAAAGAACTTGATCACCGCTAGCTGCTCTCGGTCAGGCCGCTGAAAAACAAACACATAACGCTTGATCCTGCGGATCAGTCGCTCCTTCCAGCAATAGCAATCAAATAAGGATTTGCAGTAGAAAAAATAGAAATGTGCTTGAAACCACCCCAGCAAAAAAAGTCCTTCCAAAGATCCAAATTACCTGTAAGCTTTTTTTTTTTACCCGCTGCTAACCACAATCGTTTAAGTTTTTGGAGACGGAAAGATTTCCAAAACAGTCATTGGAGTGGTCCTAGTTGGAGCACGTGTTAATGTTCTTGCCATCGGCGGCATCTTCCACCAGCGCCACGTGGTAGTCGGTGGACAGCGTGAAGTGTGACACGCAACCCAGCAGGCCGCCCACGTACTGCCGGTTGGTGTGCAGGGCGATCTCCTTCATGCCTCCTAACACACACAAATACACAGAGGCACGCACACAAAGCAACAACGTCATTCTTAGCATTCACATCTAGATGGCCGTATGAGTAGTCACTGACCGACATATAAGGGTCCGTTGATGTTGAGCTGTCTCATCTTGCCTGGTGACCGACCCGTTCTGGCACCGTAGTCGTCCACGGTCAGCTTCCCGGACTGACCATCCCTACACGTGCAAAACAGATGGTCAATTAAGTCATCATCCATCCATTTTTTAATCCGCTTATCCTCATAAGAGTCGTGGGTGGGCTGGAGCTTATCCCAGCTGTCTTTGGGCAGTACGCGGGGTACACCCAGAACTAGTTGCCAGCCAATCGCAGGGCACACATAGACGAACAACCATCCGCACTCACAGTCATACCTAGGGACAATTTAGAGTGTTCCATTAACCTGCCATGCATGTTTTTGGAAGGTGACAGGAAATCGGAGTACCCAGAGAAAACCCACACAGGCACAGGGAGAACATGCAAATTCTACACAGGTAGGCGGGAGCTGGAATCGAACATTGTATTTCTGCACTGGGAGGAGGACGTGCTAACGAGTCAACCACTGTGCCACCCCAATTAGGTCATCCATCCATCCATCCATCCATTTTCAGCACCGCTTATCCTGTACAGGGTCAGAGAGAGGCTGCAATCTACAACACCTGACTTCGGCAGGAGCACTACACCATGAACTGTTCGGCAGTCAGTCGCAGGGCAAACTTAGAGACAAACAACATTTCACACCCACATTCACACCGTCACAGAGTGGGAACCGATCCCACGCTGCCTGCACGCAAGTCGGGCGAGTATAACACTCCACCACTCCAGCAACTCATTTGGGTCATCAATTTAGGAGAATTCATGAGTAGTAATGAATTTTTTAAATGTACAAGATTATTCAGCCAGAGTTTGTACAGAACTAAAATCATAATCTTATGAAAAGAAATGTCTAATTTATGAAAATAAAGTTCATAATTTTAGGCCAATAAAGTTTCCTTTTAGAGGAATTAAGTCATAACAATGAGGGAATGAATTGTAATATGCAGACGGAGATGCCTGCACATATTCAGTCACTCACGTAGGTCAGGGCAGTTTAAATCTGACTTGTTATAGGCCCTGAAATGTTCCTAAAATTAGGAATGATAATGATCAAGGTCTTGAAATGTCTTCCTTTGTGTTGCTACTTCACCTGACAGCTTTGACTCTGTGCCACTTCCCATCAGTGAAGGTTCCGTTGACCACGATGTTTGCCGCACCGCTGCCTAGGTTATAACTCCACCAGAACGACAACATGTTGACAGTCACGAAGAGTAGAAGAGGAGTAAGTAGGACTAAATTGGTTGTTTCTGTTCCCCGCTACCTGAAGATGAGCGCGCCGCCCTGCAGCCCCAAGGACAGAAAGTCACTGTTGGCTCTCATGGGTGTGTCTCCTCTCCATAGCAGCAGGCCGTCCCCGGCACTGCTCTTGAAGCGCATGAACACGTTGTTCCTTGAACCTGACACCCTTCAACACAAACAACACACTTCATAGGTATAACCAAAATTTTAGAAAAACAAAACAACCTTCAATTTCTAAGATGCGACAAAACATTAATGGTGCATACATACATGGACTTTTTTTTTTTTTTTTGGAATCTTCTCGGTGCACAGTACCAGTTTTAAAAGTTTGGAAAACTCTTCAATTTAAAATGGTCGCAAACACTCTGAGGGTCAAGAAAGTCAAGCTCTTGACTCTTGAGAATAAAGAGCTGTGAACTGAAATTTATTCCAGGTCATAAAGGTTCATCTAAAGACAATTTAGAGTGATCAATTAATCTGACATGAATGTTTTTGTAATTTGGGAGGAAACCGAAGTACCCCAGGAAAACCCACGCAGGCACGGGCATGACATGCAAACTCCACACAAGAAGGCGGGGGCCAGAATCGAACCCTGCACCTCTGCACTGTGACGCGGACGGGCGAACCAGTCGCCCACCGTGCCACCACTTCATTTCATAAAAATACAATCATAAAAAAAATTTGAATCCAAAACATTTTAAAATACGGTAAAATAAAATATAATTTAAAAAATATTACGTGAAATGACAACAAGGAAATTAAAATATATTCCAGTTCATTATTTTAAATGCATTTTATGAAAAAAAATTAAAGATTAATGATTGAGATACGATAAAATGAATGAAAAAATTTAATGAAATCATTTGAAAAATTATGATTAAAATCAAATGAAGTCCTTCACCCCCCCCCTACAAAAAGTGAAATAACTAAGATAAAAAGAATCTACTGGAAAAAAAATTGAATGAATGAAATGAAAATCAAAATCAAATCAAACATTTTGTGTCCACTTCATTCTGACCTTTTGAGGATGTCCCTGTTGTCATAGGTGAGGTAACTGCGACCCATGAACTGTGGGATCTCAATGGCTTCCGTCACGGCTGGGACGGACAAGGAGGGAAAACACACACTTACTTGTCATGACCATGCGCGCACAGTGGCAGCACCGGTACATCACAAGTTACTGCCACATATGTTGATGGAAATAATATTTGATTATTCAAGAAGTGGAGCATTGCAGATGCAGCATGACTCACTGTTCAAGCAGTAGTTTCCACATTCTGCATGAAAAAGAACAAAACAGAGAAGACACAGACAGGTTTAAAGGATTATTATGTGTGCTACGTAATGTCATATTGACTTTCATAAGGATGGGGAAAAAACATTTAGTGGCGGACAGGAAGAGGAAAGCTCATCTCATATGGTTCAAGGCCTATGAGACTTGTGATGCCTTCAGGGACATGCAAATGGGGTGGGCAGAGAGGGCGGAATCAACCTGAGATGGGAGCTCGCAACCCCACTCCCTCTATCATTCAGCGGATGCATATCGACAGTGAAGTGCAAACTTTTATGTCTGTCCACAAAAAAAATGTAAGAAAAAATTGGCCAAATGAAAAAAAAAGACTTACAAAAAACAAAATAAAAAATAAAAAAATTGATAGAAATAAAAAATGCAATTAAAAACTGAAATAAAAAAGGAACAAAACTGAAAAATAATATAATCTCAAATGAAAAATTCAATGGAAAAAAATTGAAAATAAAAAACTATAATACAATATTAAGTGATGAAAGAGAAACATAAATGAAAAAAAGGAATATATTGAATTATAAGGGACATTACAACATGAAATAAAATGTGGATAAATTGATTAAAAATGGAATTGAATAAAAAAAATGATATTGATCAAAATAAGTACAGAAAAACTTAAAAGGAAGGCATTTCCTCAAATATGTATGAATTGTAGTATGTACAGATGCAACCCCTGTCAAATGGTTGAAATCAGTTGGAGAAGTGAACATTCGATGAAAACATCCCACTTGGAAAAGTGCAAAACCAAAGCAAATCTGATTCCTCTTTGTCATGTAATGACGGAACTAAAAGTTAGCGTGCAGCCAACGGACCTTTCTGGCAGTGTCTGCCGTCGTACCCGAGGGCGCAGTCACACTCGTAGGCGTCCCACTTGGGTCTGCAGGTGCCGCCGTTGGCGCAAGGGCTTTGCACGCATGGGTGATCCGAGTTGGCCACGTTGACGCCACCTGCCGAGCCGCTCGTGATGGCGATAATGCGATCGTTCAGGACCAACTAGGTGGGCACAACGTTTTTGTTTTTTTTTAAGTTGGCAATTTTTTATGGCATAAAAATGTCCAAAATAACATGTTATTTGCCTGCTTTGCCACGAAAGTTGCAACAGAGTGTTTTATTGTTTTGAACTTATTTTGTGCCGGTGAACTTCTTTATACACTTTTATTTCATGCAAAGCAAGTTAAGAATGAGAGTGTGCACACTGTGTCTGAGGATCGCACGTTGGAAATTCACTGTGATACCTTTTGAATCGTTCCTGTGAAGGGCTTCCTGACGCCCGCCGTCCTCTTGGTTTTGTCATACTGCGCTACACCACCAATGTAAAGTGCTGAGCTGCAGTTGATTTGCGTGAAAGCTCCCTGCACACACAATCAAAGCACACATTCAGTGTGTGTTTTCGACTCAGCAATGAGTTGAAGGAATCATACAAAGGAGTTTGTCTGCCCCCTTGTGGACAATCCTGCAAATACCTCAGCAAATCCTTCCACTGCCTTCTGGCTGTCCACTTGCAGGATTCCGCTTTTCGCCGTGCGGGACACCCTCAGCTCGTGCCACGCGTCCATATCAATCTGCTCTTCACTCCTGAAGCATCATCATTAAAGCATGGGAATGTTAGTGCAAAGATGTGCATCAGTCACTGCAGCGGACAGTAGTGCGCGTAGCGAGCACAATGAATGACAGTGTTGACCACTAGGTGTCAGTGTAAGGTAGGATAAAGGAGCCGCCACTGCAGTGACTGAACTTTGACATCAAAACTCATTCCTATGGGAAAAAAAAACATCAATTGAATCACTGTCTTCTAAACTTCAGTTACTGATATGCAAAACTGACATCAACATCAGAAGATGTGAAGAAAACGGCTTTTGAGAAGCTTTCCACTTTACTGATCAGTGCACATAAATGAGTCGCCCACTGTTACAGAATGACAAATTAGATTTCACTGTCTGATAAGCGTGTCATGAAATGAATGTCAGGATGGATGACTGACGCTACTGTGACCTCAAGTCTTCTGCATATACAGGACAACATCAGGACAGGATCTAAAGGGTACCTCAGAACAGCCCCTCCAGAGCCACAGTCGAATCTGAACTCCACGTATCCGTCCAGCAGGTTAATAGCCAAGAAGTCGCCGCTGCCATCGTCGTCGCTGTACAGCAGCGTGCCATCAGGCGTTGATGGGCGGAAGGTCATCTCGAATTCCATGAAGGACAAATAGCTCTGGGTGGGCTGAGGCCACGGCACCACGGCATAAGACAACATCGTCCCATTGAAGAGCGGCGAGAACAGAGAGAAGCCTGGTCGGAAAAAAAAAAGCTTGTGGGGGGCCTTTATTTTGGAATCAGTTTTTTTTAATCCAATAACAATAAATTAGTAAACTAAGGCAAGAAAACAAAATGAAATGGATATTTAATAAATCTGTTTTACATTCCATTAAAACTACATTCCATTTTAAATTGGATTGTATTGTATTAAAATTGAATACAAAAAAATGTAACTAAATTAATTGTAAATTAAGGTTATGTGACAGTTTCATGTACAGTATGTAGTGGCTTGCGAAAGTATTGAGTCCCCTTTTTGACCCTTTGCCACATTTCAGGCTTCAAACGAAAACATTTTAAAAAATGTGAAGAATCATTACCAAGCGGGACGCATCCATCCATCCATCCATCCATCCATCCATCCATCCATTCATTTCCTAAACTGCTTATCCTCACAAGGGTCATGGGCATGCTGGAGCCTATCCCAGCTGTTTTCGGGCAGCAGGTGGGGTACACCCTGAACTGGTTGACAGCCAATTGCAAGGCACACAAAGACAAACAAGCATTCACATTAACACCCAGGGACGGTTTGGAGTGCCCAATCAACCTGCCACGGATGTTTTCGGAATGTGGGAGGAAACCAGAATACCCAGAGAAAACCCAAGCAGGAACGGGGAGAACATGCAAACTCCACGCAGGAAGGCCGGAGCCAGAATCGAAACCTCCACCTTTGCATTATGAAGCCGACGCGCTAACCAGTTGACCACCCAGTGGAACACAATGACGACAAATTTTGACCCTCGTGTGTGATAGAATGAATGGAGAAAGAAGAGTGGTCTCACTGTCTTCGCACAGTGCTCCTCTGAAGCCGAGTGGACAGAGGCAGATAAAGGTGTCGGCGCGGTTGACAAAGCACACGCCGCCGTTACCGCAGCCCACCACGTCGCACACACTGTCGCTGCACTCGCCTGCAAGCACACACACAAAAGCGGCAATGTCGAAAGATCTCGGATGTTGCGCTGCTTACGTCCGCTCTGGATGTACACGATGCCGTCCGCCCACCTACGTCGGCGCCGCTCAGAGCTTTGCCCAACGGCCACGGTCTGACATCGGTGGCCTTGCCGTTGAGGCTCAAGCTTTGGATGCAGCCCATAAAGCCTCTGCCGGTGCCTGTCGCTTTCGCCAGCCCGTAGGTGCTTGGAGCTCCGCCGACGTACAGCGGCGAGCGGAATGTGATCTTGGTGTACTGGCCCTGGATGGCAAAACATACTTTGTTCTCACTTCTTTTCCACAGGACATAATGTACATTCACAATGTTTTGGTTTGCAACAGTTAACGCTTTATAGTTACTTTCTTACACTCTTTTAATCTCATGGTGCGGTATATTTGAGGGAGTTTATTGGTGTGAAGTGGATGACACACCCAGAGACTAATTGAGACACGGCATCAATTCAAGGGTCCACGAGAACCCCTATTTTGCAAAAAATTGCTGTACAGTCATTGGCTGCTTCGTTAGGAATACCTGCAGCCTTTGAACATGATCAGACTTGGTATTGTTACCGAGGATCGACCAGATATGGGCGTGTCATTGTCCAGTCGTAGCCAGCCGCTCGTGCCGTCCCTGAAGACTGTGACCGTGTGCCACTGACCAATGACCACGCGGCTCTCGCTGACGATCTGTGCGGCACCTGTTCCGCAGTTAAACCTGCAATTAAAAATGATTGCTTTTGAAGAGGAAGGAAAACATAGAAAATAAAAACTGTTTAAATGGTTACATCTGTACAATAACGCTGTAATAATAGATAAAGCCACTAAAATCACAATTAAATAACAATTGATGATAACAATGAAAATAATAATAATAATAATAATAATAATAATGCATCAACAACAGTGACTTATGAGTATGTTTGGTTTGTTACAATAGGGTTATAAGGTTGTAATAAAAGACTATTCACACCAGAAACCCTGCCTGGCACAACATATTCATTTTCATCTGGGCTCAGGACCGGCAATGGCCAGATATTGGTGCTCAGAAGTGGAATCAAACAAGTGTCATTTGTGTGAAAGGCATCACCATATAGCACTGGACTAACTGTGCCAGAATGTCATGCTAGATTTAGACTCTAAATTATTAAAGGACATAGTAAACCAGTAGTGCTAAAGATTTCAGTCGAGAAAACAATGAATGACTTCTCTTGGTTTGTAATAACAGTGTAACAACAGTGTAATAACTATACAAGAAGTAGACTCTATAATTCCCTTTCCTGCAGCAGTAATAGTAGTACAGGGATTCCTTGAGTTACAAGTGCTCACTTTGGTCAATAATCTTGCTCTGTGATGTGAGCAAATATGTGACTCATTAATCAGTTTCAGAAACTCAGACACTAGATGGCAGCAGCAAACATCACAACATCGCCGAGAAAGTGAAGTACACGCACGCAACTTGTGTTTTGTGCTCATACTGGAAGTTTTGAAGAAGTTTGTTTGGAATGCGCACAATTAAACTCTAAAAAGCAACCACGAGCACTGATGCCAGAATCGAAAATGCATCCTTGCTGGTCTATCGTCGCTATTATTGACCACTGGGATGTCATCACCTGTAATGCAGTTTCCCTTGCAGCAGGGCCAAAGAGGTGAAGTCTCCGCGGCCGTGTTCGTTCTCACCGCAGTACAACAGCAAGCCATCCTCTGCATCCGCCTGTACCGCACGCAAACAAAATTAGTATTAGCCACATTTACTATCATGATGGTTGTCATGGGGATTAGCCAAAATGACTTCCATTAACCATTCGGCTCCACCTTGAACTCCACTGAGATCTGAAAGGTCTGGTAGGAGTTCTTCAGAGGTTCAAAGGTCATGTGCGAGTAGCCATAGAATCTGGGAAACTTGACGGACACCTCTGAAAAGCAACAGCACAATACAAAAAAGTTAGATTTGTCATCGGCAGAAAATAACTCAGCGTTATTATGTTGTTCGATAAGATTTAGTGGGACATCATTACATTGTGCAGGCGTGAATGAAGTGGCCATATGCACCGAATGAATGCTTTCTACAGAGTCGTCAAAAGATTATCAAAAGAAATAGAAAGAAAAAAGAAAAAAATTCATTACACCACGTTTATATATTTAACGTTTCAGTTTTTGTTCTTTTGTGTTTTAATACAGTTTTAAAATTATTTTTCAACATTTTCATTATTTTTTAAAAAAATCCGGTTTCTATTCGTATACTTTTTTAAAAATAGCTTTACTCAAACTTTTTGTATTCTAATGTTAAATTGAATTAAAAAAAAGAAAAATAGTACTCTACAGTAGTGTCCTTAATAAAAAAAAAAATACCATGATAACATAATGAAATAGAATGTAAACAATTAAACAGTTTGTGAATTATGATAAATCACTCGGTTTTGTGCCGCTCATTGTGTTGTGCGCCTTAGCCACTTGGGGGCAGTATAACTCATGCAGATAATACTACATGTAGCTTTGAGACGAAACACAGACTGTCTATAATCAGCTGCATTTTTGCAGAGGATAAAGAAAATACGCTTGTCGGTGTTACATGTTACTGCATGAGTTGCTACTGCTTGTGTTCAAATATACCGTTGTTCAAATTACTGCATATCGATGCTAATGTCATAAAAATTCATTCACGATGACAACCCTCATTGCGTGCCAGCATTAAGCTAGAAAACTTTCTTAAGACAATCTCAATGCATTTTTTTAAACAATATGCGCAATTCCTTTGATTTTGTTTTATGCATTGCAGGTATTTTACTTTTTTCATGGTTTTTGATAGTATCTTTTTACTTTTTTACATTTTGAAGTAATGTTTCACTTCAGTTTTCCACCTTATAGGTTTTTACAAAATGTTTATTCTTTATTGATTATTCACGACTTAGTTTACCTTGAGAACAAGTGTCACCGGCACGTCCAAGGTTGCAGTGGCATCTCGATCCTCCTCTCTCCAAGTCTGCGAGGCAAAAGCTGTCGGGCGGGCACACGGTGTCGTCGCAGGTCAGTTGGTACACCCGAGGAACATCGCCCTTCCATGGGGACACGGTGGCAGCGGCGGTGGGCGCAGGCGCCGCGCTGCTGGAGAGGATCAGCGAGGGACACTTTGACATTGGCATCATTGAAGTTGTTAAAGTTTTTAGCAGGTACCTGGTAGTGGTGGTGGTGGTGGTGGTGGTAGTTGTTGTGACCTTGCTCTCCGAGCTGGTGGGGAAAATCAAATCGGAGAAGTCTGGGAAGATGGCAGTACTGGTGGAGGAAGAAGCCGAAGGTAACGTCGTGGTGTTGGGCGGCACCATGGTGTTCATGCGGTAAACAATGTTCTGACTCGATGGACCAGAGCGAGAGCGAAGCTGTGACTTGCTACTGTCTTGGCTGATAGCAGGGAACGGCTTCAGCTGAAAAGCATGTGAAAGTTCCCCCCCCCCCAAAAAAACAACACAATCAACACAAATGAATCTTTCTAATTTCATAAAATATGGGTGACTTACTTCCTCAATAAAGATATCATAGTCGGAATCGTCCATGTCAAAACCGTCATCGTCCTTGATCTGCGTATCCGTGAAATAACGTCCGTAATCGCCGCTGCCCACGTCTGAGGCTCCTGTCGAGAGAGTCAGAGTTGATGTGGTGCTAAATTATTCAGGCACAAAACATGCGATAATTATGCACCCATAATACACCAATTCGCAATACTAATGACACACAGATGAAGCACCAAGTAATGTCGCAATAATTCACCAGTGGTGTATAATTGATGTACCAGTGATCTGCCAATGATGTATCAATAATATACCAGTTATGAAACTGTGATGTACCAGTGAAGCACCACTGACGTATCAGCAATGACATGCCTAATGTTATGCTTCAATAGTGTACCAATAACATTCCAATATGAAAACCATGTGAAAGTTCCCCCCCCCCAAAAAAACAACACAATCAACACAAATGAATCTTTCTAATTTCATAAAATATGGGTGACTTACTTCCTCAATAAAGATATCATAGTCGGAATCGTCCATGTCAAAACCGTCATCGTCCTTGATCTGCGTATCCGTGAAATAACGTCCGTAATCGCCGCTGCCCACGTCTGAGGCTCCTGTCGAGAGAGTCAGAGTTGATGTGGTGCTAAATTATTCAGGCACAAAACATGCGATAATTATGCACCCATAATACACCAATTCGCAATACTAATGACACACAGATGAAGCACCAAGTAATGTCGCAATAATTCACCAGTGGTGTATAATTGATGTACCAGTGATCTGCCAATGATGTATCAATAATATACCAGTTATGAAACTGTGATGTACCAGTGAAGCACCACTGACGTATCAGCAATGACATGCCTAATGTTATGCTTCAATAGTGTACCAATAACATTCCAATAGTGATACACTAACAATATACAAGAGGTATACCATGATTGGTGGATCCCGCCTCAGTGATTTACCGATATACATGTGTTCACATGCTCTAAGAATGTCTTTAAACTTGGTGAAGCAGCATGTGGCTCATTCACATGCACTCGGTAATGTGTCTGTGATACTGAGGCAGCTTATGTCGAATCATCATGGAAGGGGGATTCTGAGACTGTTTGTGCTGAAGGGCTATAGAAAGAAATGTGACTTGACTGGACGATGTTGAATATTGTAGGGATGTAACGATAATGGAAATATCACGATAGCAAAATTGCCACCGTCATCTTCATGTTATGATACTAAATGCAGCACATCCCCGTCAAAAAAACATGACTTTTCGCCCGCTTCAGCCAAACAGATTGAGTAGCCAATAGGAACACATGACAATCAAGGGACTGGCTAAGCTTGTTTTTTTGCGCACTGCTATTATTATGTACAAAACACAATATTGTCCTTTTTTTTATATATCATGAGCAATTTTTTTATTTTTTTTACAATAACATGAGTTTTTATACAGTATTGTGAGCTTTTTTTTTAAATATAGTCAACCTCCCCACGATACTGTGATTAAGTATCGTATGATAAGGTTCTAATCGTAAATTATATCTTCTCATGACATTTGGATCATTATATTCCTGCGTTATCGTGTACTGCATTCCTCGCAACTACTCAATTCAATTTCTCATCTTTATTGCAAGAACTCAACAAGAAAGACAACTTAATTCCCAGAAACATCCTAAACTTGTGCGTTGATTGTGAGTACAGACAGTATACGCAGTGCCAATTCACTGAACAAATAAACAGCATAATCATTGGCATTGTGAGTATGCCGATGGGGATAGTGTTGAGAGAATGAGCTTCTAAAGTGCTTCCCGAGAACAAAATGTGTCCGCCTGATGGAAACTCTCCATCATACGCGCAGCATCAACGCTCCCTTGAGAAAGCTTCCTTATACCAACTAGTAATTTAACAACCCCCCAATTCATGTCTCCTTGTGCACTACAATCATAATCAAAGAATAATGCTTGCGTTCAACAGCGTTCAAATGCGATCATGAGAGAGTACGTCACTCCAAACTATCGTCGATATTGTAACAGGCAGAGAAATGCTTTGAATCATGAGAAAATATGCGACAAGTGTTTTAAATCATTACAGACTGTTTCTTCAAAATGCTAATTGGCACAGCCAAGTAACATTAAATCCTGCATACTGAGCACTGGAACACAGGGAGGGGTCCCCAGAAAACTAATCTGCTGTTGTGTAACAACGCCCCTCCACACACACACACACACACACACACACACGCACACACACACACACACACACACACACACACACACACACACACACACACACACGAGGCTGTGTGAAGGGGAGCCTCGTGAAAACTATGTCAGTGCATCAGGCCCACCCTTGTCGTCCATTCAAGAAGCAACATAGTGTGTGTGTGTGTGTGTGTGTGTGTGTGTGTGCGCGTGTGTGTGTGCGTGTGTGTGTGTGTGTGTGTGTGTGTGTGTGTGTGTGTGTGTGTGTGTGTGTGTGTGTGTGTGTGAGACAGGCAGAGAAGAGGGTCTGGCATGCCGTTCTTAATCCCATCTGATGAGACTTGAACGTAACCCGCTTTGGTCCCCTGCTGGGAGACCACGCTCGTCCACCGCGCAGCTTCTGACCGTTTGTCTGGCCGCCTTTCCCTAACTGGGATTTTTTTTTTTTTTTTTTTTTAGGAGAGGGAGGGGGGGGGGTGCTTTTCAGGAACTTTTTCATTACTGACGTTATTCTATTATAGTACCCCGAATTAAGAAATTTTTGTCTGACAGTCGAAGAGGAGGTGCGTGAAGCTCCCTGCCTCCAATTGATGCCAGGGGCCCACACCCCCGTCAACCCCACCCTTTGCATGCCCCTGTTTGGAATGCTGGTCATGATGGTGGTACTTGGAAAGAAAAGTATATTTCCAAGTGGGAAATGGAGTAAGGAGGAGGCGGTGTGAAGAGGCATCTTACCCAGGGTGCGCACCGGGTTGTTGACGTGGCTTGGCGGGCTTGCCCCGTGCATGTTGACGGCTCGGATGACAAACTGGTATTCGGTCTCGGGTATGAGGCCCTTCAGAACCATGGAGTTGCTCTCGATGGGCTCGCGGATGTACGTCCACTCTGTGTCCATTTCCGGCCTGGATAGGACAAGACGAAGAAAATAGTCAAAACAAAGTCAAACAAATAAGCTCCAAAAAGTAAAAGTCAAGCCCTCCCAATCCATATTTTTCAGAGAGATTACTATTTTTCTGTGCAGGTTTAATTTTTTTTTTTTTTTTAATGGCTATGTACCCTTCTTCAAGAGTATGAGCATTAGGATTCACTTAAACACACTCGACTCTTGGCAGCCAATCTGATGAGATTCAATATAAAAATTCAGTCTTTACTATTGTGTATCGGGAAAGTGACCAATATGAGGAGCCGTGAGAGACATTATTCAGGATTAAGATAAGATAAGATAAGATAAGACAACCTTTATTTGTCTCACAATGGAGAAATTCCCAATTTACAGCAGCAAAATAATGAAGGGGAGAAGTAGAAGAACAAAAAGTATATCAATAAATATACCTCTCACATTTATTTAAAAACACGACTGATTTTTTTTGGGCACTTAACCCTTTCATGCAACCGGTAACCTGATAACATGCTAGGCTGTCCACTGTAGTAACCGCTGTCCCCGAAAGGGTTAAAAATTGTGTTTTCATTACTTTAAATGTGTTTGATGGTTATGGGAGGAGTCAAACTATATCAAAATGACAGAAAGAATGTATACAGTCTCTTTAAATCACAGATTTTCATCTGGCGGAGATGAGTTTGGAACATATTTGCCGTGATAAATGGGGGTTCATTGGATGTTTAATACTCCAGGCAAATGTTCTGAATTCTCCCTTTTTACTTCTGTCTGCCTGTCAGTTTCAAGCCTCTGTGTGGCGTTGATGTGCGGTAATTTGACCTGATGTCGTCCGTTTACAGTCACGTGTGTGTGTGTGTGTGTGTGTGTGTGTGTGTGTGTGTGTGTGTGTGTGTGTGTGTGTGCGCGTGAAGAAAGAACACGGATTCAGATCAGTTGTCTGCCTGTGTCTTTCTTTGTCAAGTAAAGAGCAACAGCTGCCTTTATGCTTTTTATATCCGATGCCGCATCTTGACGCGGTGGAGTCACAGCGGGGTGCTCAGAGAAGAGTGTCTCAAACACAAGCTGCCTTTTTGTCACCGTCGTCTCCGAGCAAACCATCAAGGGACTTTGATGGAAAATGATGTCTGACTGTAACTTGTCTTGGCTCGACATTAAGACAAAGAGGCTCTTTGTCGCAGACTCTTAAAAAGCTTCTTTTTTTTTTTTTCTGTCGGACTATTCTGTTCACACAACCAATGAGCTTTGTCTCAGTGTCACACCAAAGACATGGACAACTTCAAATACATAGCACTGTGCAAAACGTCTTACTGTATATTCTACTATAAAAAAAAAAAATTCATTTCTACAAAGTAGTTTGAGAAGGAGAAATTGCACAAGGGCAGATGCACAGAATCCACTAGACAGGGTCTTCCAAATAACACAGATGTCACTGTCACCACTTTTAAAAGCAGATCGAACAACATATATATCCTCTGAAAATGCTTATCTTTAGTAGCGTGGCTGGAGTGCTGGAGACTGCCACTGACATTGCACATGAGGGAGGGTGGGCGGTTAAAACTTTTACTGGTGTTGCTGCTGGTCTATAAATCACTGAATGGTTTGGGTTAAAGAAAAGGAATATAAACCCATCAGGGCCCTGAGGTCTGTGGACTCAGGTTAATTAGTGGAGTCCAGAATTCAAAGCAAACATGGTGAAGCAGCATTTAGCTGTTATGTTGCACGCAAACAGACGTCAAGTCAGCCTCAAATGTAAATGCTTTTAAATCCAGTTTAAAAATAAAGAGTATGCACTTTTTTCATACCTACTGTATGATTGAGGTCTTTCAAAGCATTTTTAAAATCATGGTCCCCAAAATCACATTCTTGCACTGTACATTCTGGAAAGTGACTTTTATTTCTTTCCTTGGCTTTTAAATGTCTACCTCTTTTGTTGGTAAATGTTTTGAATGTTGTTCTTTTAATTATGTGAAGCATTTTGAATTACCTTGTGAATAAAATGTCCCACATACTGTATATATAGCTGCCTTTCCTTGCCTAAAATTATATATTTTAATCAAAAAAAATGTCTTGAATTTGTTATTAATAAGCAACACTTTATACAATGCACTCGAAATAAATATCATCGCATACTAAAAAAAACAAGAGTGAAATTGAACTTGTCAAAAATATTCAATGATAAATAAACTTTAGATATTAAAAATTGCCTCATAAAAAGTTTAACAATAATAAAAATAATAATAATGGACATTATGTAAATCAAACAGTAAATATAGCATATCCCACAGGAGAAATGCAACAAGAGAGTGAAATAAATCATGATCAAATGTCAAAAGCATTTCATAAATATGTATTGATACTGTTATCTAAACTAACACACATAACGATGTCCGTGATCAGTGGTGGCTCACCTGATGTAAGCAACCAGGAAGTGGAGGACAGGCGCGCTGCCCTCGCTCTCCCCTTGCTGCCACGACAACGCCAACTCTGTGTCAGATATCGCCACGACAATGGGCTCGGTTGGGGGTGAGGGCGGCATGCACGTATCTGATGGCGGATGACAAATTCAATAAACCATGATAGCATCATATACATATCTCATTTGTAATTTTGTCTTTTTTACCCCCCCCCCCCCCCCCCCCCCCCCCCCACCCTCACCATGCGAGGCTGTGCCGATGTCTCGAGGCATACTGGGTCGACCCTCACCCGCCCAGCCGTAGGCACCAACGCTCACTCGGTACTTGGTGTTGACCTTTAGGTTGCCTATATCCACATCCTTCATGATGAACAAAGGAAGCGTCAAACAAGATGAGTGTGTGGCAACGAGATTGGGCTGACTCAATTTTTGTCACTTTTAACCAAGATATAGCAACGTCCCAGATTTAATTGCAGCCATAAAACTTTGAGTGATTCTCGTGAAATGACAAAAATGGGTTCAGCTCATTGTAGTTCTCAGTTGCTCAGATAAAATGTGCCACATACAAAAAGGAAAGGTTACTTACAAAGTTTGCCTGTCCATCAAATTGGCCCTTTGGATTAAAAAACAAAACAAAAAGTATTTAAATTAAAAGTATATACACAGAAAAAGAAAATTAAAAATGGGGGGAAAAAAATCAATAATATATTTTTTTAAAACTTGAAATAAGAATATCTGTGCCATTGTTTTTATCATAAGCAGTATCATTACTGGCGACACTGGCCTTATATTTTCCTGATCGATCAAGCGGATGCTTGATGCCAATTTCTTGAGCGCTATGACAGAAGCTCAGAATAATAAGGCTGGCATCAAGTGCCAAGTATCCAACAACACTGCAGCTCTGCTTGCTATTGATAGCAACAAGAAGGACTCACCGTAGTTAGCATATCCAAACTAAGAGGGACGTCCATTACAGAGGCCGTACCCAGGGGACGGCCATTTTTCATTTCTGTGTAGAATACCTGAAATACGCACAGGGAGATCATCTAAACACAAGAGCAAAAGCCTCTGCCGAGGCTTGAATCAATGTGGGAACAGTCTCAAAGAGCTAATATGAGGTTTCGTTTTAGTAATTAGCAATAAGATCGTACATAAGAGGTAACACAGACGCTATGTTTAACTGTGAGTTGTTTGGAAGCTAGGTGCAGCTCGCTGACTAATCCTCTTAGTGTGGACATATGGTCAGGGCACACACTGATTCACTCTTTGTTAACGGGTGGCGGCAATTAGGAAGGACGCAAAGAAGGTCAATTGGGTGAGCTACAATTAGTGTACACAAACAAATACTCTGTGATACGGGCACGATAAGCATTTAATTGACCGTTACGAATTGCGTCGATTGGGCAGAACCGATGGTGGATTATTCGCATTTTAAGTATTATGCTGGTGTGAAAACAGGAGTTCAGAACATTCAGCATGACAAGTTCAATTTTAATTGAATCCATTTAAGATCGATGCTCTTCTTCCTGTGTTTTGTAACCAGGCTATGTATGCATTGTTACTGTATTGTGATTTTTATTACTTTGTAGACAGACAAAAGAGAACGCGCTTGCTTGGTGAAAGCATGAGTGAGGCAATCAAAAAAATAAGAATGATCTAAAGGTGCACAAAAAAGCACAAACCCATGGACTCAAATCCAGTCAGAGAAATGCAAAGCTAACCAGTGGCCAGCTTGCTAGCACCAGAAGCTAACATAGCAGTCCACGTCTTCACTCGGTGCTTTTTGTCAAACAATGCTAACGGATGCCATGCTAATGCTAACACACAGAGTTCATCTTTTGATGTTGGCTGAAATGAGGTCGAGTGAGGCACCACTTCGGTGCATGGCACAGAGAGCTCAGCCATCAGAGGTCTATTTTATAAAAACATGGTGCTAAATGGGGAACCCATCCAATTTGAAAAAGCAATTGGACGCCTCAAGGCCACAGTGCCGCGTGGATTCCATTTGACAGACACTTTAAAAGCCACCCGCGCGACTGGCTCGCATTGACAAAACACACAATAGAAAAGAGTGGAAACTGTCATCTCTTTTCTGCTTTGCTGTGACGTGAATGGCAGTGCAATACTTTGGCTTTTTTTATTTTCTTGATTTTTAAAGAGAATCACATGCATATAAAAATTTAGGAGCAAAATCAAATATAATATATATCATTATTTCAATAGTGCATTGATACTTAAAGGAGAAGTCAAGTCAAAAATGGTCTTTACAATAATATGTTCTATGAGCGGCACGGTAATCCACTGGTTAGCGCGTTGGCCTCACAGTGCAGAGGTGCAGGGTTCGATTCCGGCTTCGGCCTTCCTGTGTGGAGTTTGCGTGTTCTCCCTGTGCCTGCGTGGGTTTTCTCCCAGTACTCACGTTTCCTCCCACATTCCAAAAACATGCGTGGCAGTTGATGGAACACTCGAAATTGTTTCCCGCGACACTTGTGAGGATCGGTCGATTAAAAAAATGGATGCATGGATGAATGTTTTATGTGCCCCAAGAGTCTAAACATGGCATTCGGATGAGGAGTGTGTTTGTGGAATATGAGTTAAGTAGTTTTTGGCTGGACTTCTCCTTTCAAAAGTATATTGAACCTATTCAAGAACAATGTATGTATTTTTATTCATCTAGATTTTTTATTACAGTAGCATTTTTTATTTATTTGAATTTGAGTTGATGAAAATTATTTCAGAATTTTTTTTAACTCATTTGCATTGATTTATCAAAACGTTTAAGTATTCAGGGTATTTTTTATTTTCACTAGGATGTAGCCATTAACTTTCATTTGATCATTATTTTTTATATTCATTTTTAAATTTAAAGGCATTTCTGGTACATAAAAATAGACATTGTTGTTTCCATAAAATGCATATTAGTAAATGCAAATTATGTTCAATAATTAATTAGATGATATAAGTGACTGTTAAATAGTCTTGTTCAGGGTATTTATTATATATTACGTCTTACAATTTCACATTTCAATGAATTCATTCATATATTAAGCATCTAGCCTACTGACTTCAAATGTAGTTAAAAAAAAAATCTATCCATTTACTTTCTACACTTCAGCTCAAGAAGAATTTAAAGGCCGAACTCCAGAAGTGCAGTTTTGCTTTTTTGGGGTTTGTTTGTTTTGATAACGTCCCCATGGAAAGCCACCAGTGGTGTGGACCATGGAACAGGAAATAATATACTAAAAAAATAAAATAGAAACGAATGGCAACCTTGTATCCGGTGATGGTGCTAACATGTCGCCGCGGCATCTTCCATCGCACACTGATGGCACTGCAGTTGACGCTCTCCAACTGGATGTCCAACGGGGGACTCAGACGATCTGGAGTGGACCAAACAGGCAAGGACATCAGATTGGGAACCAAATCAGGAAGTAGAAACCTAAACAAACGTAAACCACTCAAAAGTTCACTTGCAGACAAACAACAACTTAGGGGTAGAATGATGATCACCTTTCTTGACTTCACTTGGCTATGGTAAGGAAGCACAATTTATCCAAGAGGAGATTATGGGGCTACTGCTGCAAAGTGAAGACTTCGCCATCTCGAGTTGTGAATCCTCAAAAGTAACATCAATTATTCTGTACCCAGTGGTTCATGCACACTTTGATCCACTCGGTACCTACGTTGCGCAGGTACTATTCCTGCTTCCTGGGAGTACCTGCTTTCGCATGGGCCAAATAGGTACTGAGACAGTTTTGCTTTGAGTTATTTCTGTCTGACTTCCTGATTCTGCCACTTGAGCCTGTCTTTTGTCGACAATATGAGACGGTGCTTCGAGTTGCCAAGAAAGCAGTGTTGGGAGTATGACACTTTTTATTGGGACAAATAATTGTGCCCTCTTGAATTTGATCTTGCAACAAGAGCACAAAAACAATCTCGTTTTTTTTTTTTTTTTTAGGTGGCATTGTAAACATATCATACAGTATGTTCATCAAAACAGCACCCATCCAACAATTCATGACCTCATTGACCACCCTTCAATCATCTTTCCTTCCATCCATCATTCATCCAACAATCAATTCATTATCCTCCATCCATTCATCCATTCCACATTAATCCATGATCCATTTGTCATTCCATCCATCCATCCATCATTAAGCCATCATGCTTTCATTCATCCATCAACCCATTCCCCCACCCGTCCATCCATTCGTTCATCATTAGTTCATTCATCATCTGTGCATTCATCATCCATCCATTCATCATCCTTCCATTCTGCATGCATTCATTCATCCAAGCAGTCATCCATCCATTCAGGTGATGGCAGGTTGGACATGCCACAGAGTGACTCATGCCGCTTGCTCGGCTTTTACTGAGGAGATCAATGGTGGGCTGGTGGGGCCTTAAAAGCACCAGGATGCCATTTTAATGAGCGTACAGTGTTGTTGTGCAGCCTTGATATCTCAAAGAGGCAAATGTCAGCATCGGGACAAAGACTTCAGTTGGGAATCAATAAAAAGGTGGAGAATGGTTTCAGCCCAAATGCTGAAAAAAGATTGGATTTTTCTTCAAAGCAAATGATGCCATGACATTGTCTGACAACCTGTAATGAGGTTGGTGTATTTGCCTGGTTTCTATTGACTGCTATGTTATGTGGGACGTATTTTGACAAATGACATTTTACTGTGGTTAACTTTTTCTTCTGCTTGTATGACAGACAAAAAAGAAAAATGAAAGTGTAGGAGTGCACAAGAGCAGATTGTGTTCCACCTTAGAGGAACGAACGTAAAGTGCTGAACGTCTTTTTATACTTTTGCGACAACAAAATCAGACAGCAACCAGCACATCACAATAGATTGTGTCAGACATTCCACTGTTGTGCCCAAGGGTCAGTGCCTTTGTGAATGCTAATGCTAACATTGACATGACTGATGTGGACTGACACACCAACACCCCCTCGTCAAAGACCACCACTACACAAGTCCAAATGTCAGCAGGCATGGACTGTTTGGTGAGAAACCGACGCAGCAGTGCGTGTTAGGTGTGCGCGTGTGCGCGGCTCACATGCAGCCTGAGGGATCGAACGACTGGGATGTGATGCGAAGGAGGCGAGGATGAATTGGACGGGCTGACAACAAGAGGAAGATGTCTTGTTGATGAGAAAACAAAGAAAGCAGCCAGCGTGTGCCTCGAGGGATACATTGTTCTTGTGGATTTATTACACATAATTTAGGCACCTGTAGAACAAAACATTAGGTCCACCTGATGGAAGCTCAATACAAGAGCTTTAACATAAAAGTGTTTACTCCTCTGCAGATGGCAAAAGCATCTACTGAGGAGGGCAAACAAATTGTGTGAGTATTAAACAATTTTAGTAGAAAACAGTAGTTGAGCATTTTCTTTCTTTTATTTTTTTTCACGGATTACTAATCTGCCTTTATTTTTCTCTAACCCGTGATAATAATAACACTAATAATAGAATAATAAAATACTATGTAATATATTTAGTAATATGTATAAATAAATGGCCAGCTTCAGCAACAGGTGGGTAAAACACAACACCAAGTAAAATCTGTATTCCCCAAGATAGGTCAAATTTAAAACTAGAACAAAAAATAATTTTCAAAAACCTGATGTGAAAGTAATTTTTTTTTTAAATCAGCATTAAAAATATATTTAAGGACACAAAGCCATCTCTGATTACAATTTTCTGGTAACCAGTGTAATATAGATAAAGTCAAACCTCGGTTTTCGAACGTCTCTGTTCTCGACCAAATCGGTTTTCGACCAAAAATTTCGTGTTTTTTATGCTTCAGATTATGACCGAAAATCGGTGAAATCGGTTTTCAACCAAACTGAGCGCACTTGAATGCGCCACTTGACTCCTCTCGCCTTCCTTACAAGAGAAAGTGACTTCCTCGGGTAGACGAGGAAGTGACGCTTCCTCGTGTAGCCTTCCATTGTGAGCAGACGTATTCAATATATATATATATTTTTTAAAAGAGCGTGGTTTCGGTTTTCGAACAAATGGGTTTTCGAACAGACTTCTGGAACGGATTATGGTTGAAAACCGAGGTATGACTATATATCTATTTATCTATCTATCTATATATATATATCTCGATATCTATCTATCTATCCATATATATCTATATATATACACGCACACACACACACACACACACACACACACACACACACACACACACACACACACACACACTGAGGAGCGATCTATTAAAATCAATAAAAACTGACACAGAACCAACCCCAATTTGGGAACCCTGGCTGAAGTGATGATTGGGTTTCCATTTAAATGAAAGAGGAGGTTTTAGCTAAGGAACCCGACGAATATGATCCTCCTGACCCAGCATTTGACTGACCGGCTCTCCTGGCACTGGACCTCCTGGCGGCGGAGCTGCGAGTGGCCAAGCAGCAGATCACAAAGAAGACAAAGTGCAGGAAGAACGAGGTCCGTGTCCGTGTCCAGCTGCCGCTCGCCATCGTTCCACTGCTCTCAAATACTCATCGTATACACGCAGCCTGAAGCGCCACCGCTTCACACGGGACCAATACTACTAAGAATACTACGAAAGTTGAGGGGGGCGGTGTTAGAGATGATGCGGCTTCCCAATGGACGAGGAGAAGAGTTGATGAGATTAGGGTCCGAAAGATCAATTCGGGTTAGGCACGTCACTGCGCGCGCGCAAAAGGACAGGGTTTTTTTTTTTAATGTGGGGTGGAGACACCCGTGCGTAATGCGCGAGATCGACGCGCGATGGGTGGGCACGCTAGGCGCGCGCGTGTGTTGTATCTTTCTTTTTTTTCGTTTTTGGGTGGTTCGTGCGTGTGCGCCCCCGACAGCAAACGACAACCCAGGAGCGCATGCAGCAACGTGGAGCCATTTAGAGGCTAAGAGGATAACGAGCGTCTAATCCGCACACCGCAGGCCCCGCACGCAGATGGAAGCCACGCAGTCTTGACCCACACAAGCACTACACTACGATAGCCTACAGTCAATACGCACTTGCCCCCCAAAAAAGCCTTGTTAAAATAACAAAAGAAGAAAGAAATACAAAGGTTTGTGCACTTAGGGTTGGCTCTTAACCAACACATTAAATAGATACAATTACATAAGCCATATTATTGTGATTAAAATACTTAAATAAATGTTTTTAAATTATAGAGGGAATTAATGTTTTCACAAACACCAAACGATATCGAATAACATTTTAAATATGTTTTAATTCAAAATATAAATGTATAACTAGTTGAATACATTCATAATAAGGTGAATTGTTATCAGTAAATATAATCGTGCAATACGAACATTAAATCCAAAAAAATGATACAAGTATTTTTTCTAGCCAGTGCAATTCTTAACTTTCAAATGAGCGAGACATAAAGCAGTAAATAGCGCCCACTGGTGGCAAAAATTGCTCCTGCAATGAGTAATTCAGATTAAATCTAAAAATTTAAATCCTAAAATCTACTGTATTTTACAACTTGTATTTCAAATTTTAGTATGCGATACTTTATTATATCTTTGCCTGTTTCTCGAGTTCAGCAATAACCTACTCTTACACCTCTAATTAATTGAAGATGTGACCTTGCTGCACGATCAGCGTCATTATTTCTTAAGAGGTCCACCTGACAGTTTTTGGCTGCACAAAGGGGAAACGTAGCCATTCACCTGATGAGGCTCCATTGAGACGTTTCACAAAAAAAACAAAACAAAACAAAAAAAAAAAAACACGTGGGACACAAACACGATTCATCATGACGCGCATCAGCTGGCTTCCATAAATCACATTACGTTGGCGCTGAAGATTTTGCATTATGCGGGACTTGGGGAAACAATACATCTTCCTTGAATGATTTTAATGAGGGGGCGGGAGGTAAACAAAACCAAAACGCTTGTACATTCTGGATTTAATATGTCACTTCTATAGAATATGCCTGTCTATACCTCAGCCAACAGCTGCATGCTGTTAGAGTTGATTTAAGCTAAACAAACAGCTTTTAATCAGTCCTCCGGGAAGGAAACATTTTTTTTCCCCCAATAGAAAATAATGTTAACTGTAGTCCTTTGTTTTAGACCTTACTAAAACACTTAGGTGATCTTTTAAAGCGAAAAAGAAATGGATCAGTCAAATAAAACTCAAAGTAAAAGCGCTACTTAACATCTTGCAGTAAATGGAATAGTTGTGTGTTTACTGACACCTCAAGGTCTGTTAGAGCTTTTACGAGAATTAGTATGTGTTGTGCAGTGAGTTGTAAATACTGTATGTTCGCATCTACTGCACATACAATATATGCACCCACGCACCCATAATTATGCACTGACACAACATATGCACAAACACACTTTCACCATTAACGTAAACTATAACTATAGGGTGTTCCGAGAAGGGTTTTATATCATGCAAGAGTGAAATCAGCCGATATCGATATTCTTGCCACTCTACCCTGCAGCCCAAACAGGAAGAGGACAGGAGATTGTCATCCCTTTAAATAAACAGCCATGACTTGCCTGAAATTCCTTCATCTCCTTTCATGCTGCTGTCAGCCTCTTTGGAGGCTCCCTGACCACAAGTTTTTTTTTTCTCGTCTTCTCATCAATTTTGGACGGACATCCAGTTCTTGATATCACGACTCTCTACTATACACACAAACACAAACAAAGCACACAGCAGTAATACATGGGTCCATGGTAAATGAGCATTTTAAGGATTAGCATCCCAAGTATTGCTGTTTGTTTGTTTTTTTGCAATACTACTTTAGAAAAAATAAAAATATCACAAAAAAAGTCCGAACATGTTAGCTCACTCCCTTGCTGCAAATGAAAGGCGGGCGTAAAAGTTATGTTCGCTTGATTTACATGACACAATACTGAGTCATTTTTGCATCATATATCATATTTATGTGGAGCTGTGTAGTTCTGATGAGGGTGTATCAAATGTCATGGGGGTGGGGGGGGAGCAGCGTCAAATAGCAGCACATACAATGTCCCACTGATTGGAAGCACATTTTTGACTGACCTTTGAAGTCTCCACCCACCCGGGAATGGATCGCCTCACGTCACCAACACACCCCATCACGTCTCCTGTTCTTCTCCTTCAGTGTGGACTTGAACTCAGTGGGACTGCATGTCTGACGAACTTCTGCAAAACAGTTTTTTTATTATTCTTTTTTTTTTTTTTTTTTTGAGGAATCCTTTGGGAAGCGCCTCTCTCTGCCGAATGAGTGCAGCTAGTTCCGAGGCGCGCCATGTCCCGCTGCCGGACCCGAGCGGACCATGACGCTATGGCATAGCCTGACCACTTGTTTGATTGTGCTCGGAGTCGTGCACGCCGACCCGGGACCGCCGGGGTTGGTGCTCGTCGCAGAGGAGAGGCCCCTGGAGAGCCCGCCGCTCCGGTTTCGCCTGTCATTCACTTCGCAGGGAATCAGTGAGAGCCAAGAGGACGTGGACCACCAGACAGACGCTTGTAAGGAAGAGCCTGGGAGGCAATAAGTTACTGGGGGAATACTGAAAGAGTCCAGCTGTCTTGCTGATGTCAAAAAAATGTGGCAATGCTGAGAGAAAGCCTTTTCAGACTCATATTTATATCATAAAAAAGCGGGAAGGCTGGGAAATACACTCTGTTGCACGAACAAAGTACTTTTGCCAGTATGCTGAGACAAGCATTCATATCATACTGTTGCATGTCTAAAATATTTGGAATGGGAATGCTGAGAGCCAAATATTCATATTACCATGGTAAAAAAATGTGGTTGGCAATGTTGAGATAAAAGCAGTCATTTTCATGTTAGTCATGTTCAAATGTGAATACTGAGAGACACGTTCACACAACTGCAAGTTTTTCAGTCAGGGTGCTGAAACAAGCGTCGACAAAAATACGAAATGTCTCGATGGTACAACATGGGAATGAAACATAGTCATCCTAATGTTACTATTGGGGTAAAAAAAGACATTGACATATTAAAAAATGCTGCTTGCAAGAAGTATTTCAATGGGAATACATTGACACTAATGCTACTATGGTAAAAAAAAAAGGGAATGCTGAGAGATAGGTATTCGTAAGGTTGCTAAGTTTAAAAATACAATGTCGGAATGCTCAAAGACAAGCATCACACTGGTGCAAATCCAAAGTATTGTAGTGGAAATGCAGCAAGACAAACATCTGGTGAATACTTACAGACAAGCAATTAATTACATTTTTGTGGTGTCCAAAGCTTTCTGGATGATTGTTGAGACACAAAATCATCATGGGAATTTTAAAAGACAAGCATTCACACTTACGGGTACTGTATTGTGTGTCCCAAATTTTCATGACGTGAATGCTGAGAGTCAAGCGTTCACACCGTTGCACATCCAAAGTATTTCGGTAGCAATGCTGGAAGTCAAGCATTCACACACATCTTACGATGGTAAATAATTGCTGAGAGACAAGCACTCATGGATGGATGTTCTTGTTCTCTTCATGACGTGATTACGGCAATGATCCGTTTTTCCTTTAGACATTATGGAGGAGGCTATCCCAGCTGACTTTGACGAGGTGGCGGATTTGGTCAAGGTGACCGTGAGCAGAATACGGGGATCACCCAGCGAGTCCTCCCTGCCTCAGCGGATCCCCCAGTCTGATCAGAACCGGAGGAACAGGTCCAGACGGGAGAGGACGAACGGGTCGAGCCGGAAAAGGATCCCGGGAACAAAGGCACGGAAGGCAGGCGGCGGGCGAGCAAAGGGCTGCTCGCTCCAGCAGGTCCACCTCAATGTGACCGACCTGGGCCTGGGCTACCATTCGGGCGAGGAGATGATCTTCAGGTACTGCGCAGGACCCTGCAGGAAGTCGGAGACGAACTACGACAAGATCCTGCGCCACCTGGCCCGCCACGGGAGGTTGCCGGCCAAGGACGCGCCCCCGCAGGCCTGTTGCCGCCCGGTGGCATTTGACGACAACCTGTCCTTTCTGGATGATAACCTGGTCTACCACACCCTCAGGAAGCACTCGGCTAGAAAATGTGCTTGTGTCTGATCAACTTTTTTCATACAGCATCAACCATGTATTTGATTGACAATCCACACCTTCTCCTTCATGTATGACTCAGACACGAAAGAGGTTTCTACACTCTCTCTGTGTCGACAGTATAGCATCTATGGCACGGTCCAATGGAAAAAAATATCTCCAAATTTCCATGTGTAGTTATTTGATGATCCAGATAAACTAAGATGGAAAGGATGGAACTCATGCACAATATGTCCAAATTTTGTGGAGGGCTGGGTGAAGTTGGGGTTCAGTCCAAGGAATATCGGATGCTTTTTTTATCCAATTGACCAATTGGGTGCTTTCGGGCAGGAGGCAGGGTACACCCTGAACTGGTTGCCACCCAACCGCAGGGCACACAAATAGACAAACTATCAATGAAACTCACAACAATTCACAATCACACCTTGGGACAATTTAGAGTAACCTGCAATGCATGTTTTTGGAATGTGGGAGGAAACCGGAGTACCCGGAGAAAACCCACTTAGTTATGGGGAAGACATGCAAACTCCACACAGGGAGGCCGGGGATGGATTCAAACCCACAAACTCATGTAAAATCTACTGGTTTTTTTTTTTTTTGATACATCATTTCTTTTTCATTGATGAAAACCATGTACAGTGATCCCTCACTACTTCGCGGTTCGTTTATCGCGGTTTCAGTGCATCGCGGATTTTTTCAAACATAATTTTTTTTTTTTAAAATATACATGGAGTACATTACTGTATATGTTGCTCTATGTGACTCGCTGTTGTTTTGCAGCTTCTCGCGGACCGTTTGCGGACTTTAAAAAAAACCTTTTTTTTTTTTACCTGTTTATGTTAATTGGACGCTACTTCGCGGATTTTCGTTTATCGCGGATGGTTTTGGTCCCCATTAACCGCGATAAACGAGAGATTACTGTATCTGCATAATATTGGATATCTTTTCTTTACAGATGAAAGAGGGAGAGGTGACGGGTGGGGCGGGGGGGCGGCAAAACCATGCATCTCCGGAATCGAGAAAAATTAAGAAAATATAATCACTTGAAACTCGTGTATCGTCATGTTTGAATATTTTCTTAAACCAGGGACACATTTTTTTTGGGGGGGGGGGTGAGAAAGATGAATTTTGGAGATACTTTTTACTGGAGAGCAAGCATATAGTATGTATTTATGAAAATGGATGTATTAACTTATTCATATTTATTTTGGTTTTTATAAAATGAAAACATGTTCATTCGTGTCGTCGCATCTTTCTTTATGGCAAACGTCTGCTTCCTGACTAAACACGTTTTGAGTTCTTTGCAGTAAAAGGCAGGCAAACGTGTCCAAAATTCAACAAAATAACACAAAATAACTCAGACTTGCTATGTTTTGTGGAGAAAAGCATCGTGATCCACTGTACTTTACTCAAAGCTTCAGAACTGAGCTACTAAGAAAATTAAATCCCCTCCTCAATTGGCCTTTGTTCGCTGGAACAAAGCATCTTGTTTTCCATAAACAACAACTTGACAATAAACACTCCCACCTGTTGAGAATCCTTTTTATCAAGCCAAGCTGTGGCTTCTTCTGCCCATAACATCAATATAATAAAGCTGTTGCTGAGATGAAAAAAAAAAGATTTTTGGGGGGAAGGGCATGCAATCCATCTGCCAATTGTTTATGATCTTGTCTGCTGTGGATGTCATAATTTCTACAGAATTGAATGAAAATAGCAAATTTTTGCCCCATGTTGAACTCTCGGGTACGCTTACAAGAACGAAAAATCAGAACACAATCAAAATTAAAGTGTTACCTCTATTTTGTGAGCAAAAAAAAAAAACCCGATTTCTGAATCCGGTGGGTGACTAACTGGCTCGAAAGATGTCTTTGTAAAAGAGACGACAACAAGAGGACGCAAGAGGGTGATAACTGGTGAAGCTAATGAGTGTGGTTTCTATTTGATCCGTACGGCATGAGTGTAGTCACTTGAGCTGAGTTTTCCTGCGACTGGTTTTTGAAATCTGCTCAACTTATTGAGGTCATAGCGTGACAAAAAAAGTTTTGTTTGCGACTGAGCAAACTTCTTCGTAGCTGCTGACAAGAGAGCCAAAACGAAACAAACAATGCAACAAAGCATCCCTGGAACAGCGGCAAGTCATAGTTTTTAGGACCAAAAAAAAATCCCATGATTTAAAAAAAAAATAAAGAAAGAAAAAGTCTTCTTTAATTCGGATATTTCAAAGGAAAAATAGCAACAATTGTTAAAGAATGGCATAGTATTGTTCTTTGGGGAAAAAAAAGGGATAAACTAATTACATATGGACCAGGTGAGCCATGATGTTTGACGGTTCATTATATGGTATTAAATTGCAGAACATGTTCATGTTCACAAAAGTTAATCATGCTTATATGTTATGACAAAAGAGCAAGATTTTATGTTTGGGAAAACACGTTCTGGCAAAAATAGGCGTTTGCAGTCGGGCATTGGTGTCAAACTCCAGTCCGCTCCCTTCTGCAACATACCGGATTCAAAAGATCGGATCATCAGCAAGCTCTGCAGGAGATAACTTGTTTTGTATAATCTTAAGATGACATTGTCAGTTGCTCTTTCTAGAAATTAAATGGGGGGAAAACAAAAAATATGATTAAAATCGGATTTATTTTCAGACCATATCAGCTAACTCTTAATTTATCACCTTGTGTGAAGACTGTACTCTCAGAATCAGCTGGTTTACAACTCAGTATGTAAAAGGAGGAGGCAACCAGAGAGAGGATCATGTCATTAGCACCATGACTCTCTTGCGCTTTTGTTCAGAGCGTCAAACGAGCTTGTAATGAACGATCACGTTTCCGTTAGTGGATCGCCTGGCCAACAGGTGCTGAATCCAGATTTTTCTTTTTTTTTTTTTTTACGCCATATGCGCCAAACATAAGCAGAAGTTTGCATTCAAATACGTTTTTTTCTTTACATTTTGCACAGTGTACTTGAGTGCCAGCGATAAAGAAACTGATAATGAGCACATCATGATCTTGCAACCAAGCTGTGGGTTGAGGACAAAAAGCGGCACTTCCTGTGTCGTGTTCACAGGGGTTGTCGTGAGTGAGTTACAGTTGCGGGAACGAAATGCAACCTGTGAGGCATTTGACCGCATCATTAAATTTTGAGATGAAACCAAAGGATAGGTTGCCCTAGGTGTCGGTCTAACACCTGTGCGGCATCATTTGCTTTTATTTATTTATAACACATCCCTGTCATACAAGTGTAAAGGGAAGTTAACCAAAATAATAAAACAAAACTATACACTACTAAAAACTACTCTGCCTGTGAAGACACCTGACGGACAAAATGCAGAGACCAGGAAGCACCCACATACTGCCCATTAGAGGTATTGCTGAAATTCGAGTGTTTTACAAGAACATATTGGTTGTAAAGGAATTTTTTTTTTAATCTGGAAAACCAGATTTCAAGGGAAAAAGGCCTAATTTTACAATATTTTTTTCAAGAAAAAAAATGACTCTCTTACATGTTCATTTTAAGGAAAAAGTGTGACAGTTATATTTTTCCCAGGAGGGGAAAAAATCAAACTGATAATCTTATTTTTTTTTCTAAGGAAAAAGTGGTAATCCAACAAGAATGATGAAAAAAATGCTTCATTTCTTTTTAACAAAAACAGTGGAAATGTTTTATCCAAATAAAAAGAAAGAAAATGCCACATTTTAAAGAAGAGTACTTTTTTTTTTAGGATTGTTCAGGACAAAAAGTCGGAGGCAATTTTTCTGAGGCAAATACAAATATAAAATAGCAGCTGCTCTAAGAATGTTTAATTTTCTGAGAAAAACAGCGATTTAAATTAAAATTCTATTTCTTCAAGGGAAAAAAAATGATTTCAGGAACGGGCACAATATGAAATACTACTGTTATTTTCTCTCAAGAAATTAGTCTCGGTGGTTAAAAAAAAGTATTTATGACAGGAAAGTATTTTGAATCATACTTCATAGCATTGTTCGTATTGTGATCAGCTGGACCCGTTCTATGGTTATTACACTTTTTACTTTTTACCTTTGCCAACACTGGTACAGAATACAGCTCACTGAAAAGAATTCCCTATTTTTCCCCCAGAATATTCTGAGCTGAACTGCAACTCGTAGCACTTTTGGCCCCTTTAAACTCAACGAAGTGGCTCCAAGGGTGACTTACTCATGTTTGTCAGCAGGGCGGCTGTGTGGGAAAACCCGAGTTGGTATTTTGGAGGATTCGAAGCGTTAGAAATGTGGTGATGCACGCAGCAGACGCTGTCAGCGCATCATCGCTACCGCCGTCGTGCATTCCTCTCATGGTTTCCACATGTGGCAGCTGAGGCACAGAGTGGAACTGCTCTAATCTTCTCTGTAAACACTGCACTGCTCCCTGTGTGTGTGTGTGCACCCCAAGAGGCAAAGCAGACCTCCAGCTCCCTATTCGTGACCCCTCACTGCAGGGAAAATGTGGATATCATCTTCAGAGGTGCTCATCACGCACAATCCAAACATTTGTAAGACATGGTCATATTTTATCTACCTTCTGATTGAGAATCCATAATCATGAAATTCTTTTGGTACAATGAGAGGGTCTCTGTGGCGCTATTGTGGGGCACTCTTCCTTGCAGAATTGCTTTGATTAGCGGCACTAAAAATTTACAGAATGAATATCCTTTTGAAGGTCATGCCTGCACAGCATTTCAATCAAATTTAAGTCCCGACGGACTTTGACTAGGACACGCCAAAATCTTTAAGGCATTCAGAAGTTGCAGAACCCACCAGTGCTGCATGTTGAGTTTAGAAACTACCGGCTGAACTTTATTCCTCAGGATATTCTAATGAAGAGCAGACTTTATGCTTCCGTTCAGCACAGCAAGTCATCCAGGTCCTGTAGAAGCATTGCAGCTACAGACCATCACGCTACCATGTTTGACTCTTGGTATGATGTTCTTTTTCTGAAATGGTGCAGTAGATTTACGTAAAATGAGCCTTTATGTTCTTTATGGTCACCAACAGTTTTGACCTTGGAACTTAATGAATGCCATTTTTGCCCAGTCTCTTCCTTGTTATCGAGTCATGAACACTGACCTTAAATGAAGCGAGGGAGGTCTGCAGTGTTTTAGACATTGTCTTGAGTTTCTTTGTGACCTCCTGGATGAGTCGTTGCTGGGCTTGAAATAATTTCTGGAAGATGGCCACTCCTGGGAAGGTTTGTCACTGTTCCATGCTTTCTCAATTAGTAGACAAAGGATTTCTTTGTATCGTGGCTGTCAGAATGTCCGGAAGGTTACGGACAGAATCAGACTCTATAAACGTAGACTGATAGTTGTCAACTAGATAAATTTAATGAAAAAAAAGAGGTGTGAGGCCAACAAAGTACAAATAATGATGGTGGAACAATAACCAGGATAAAAACAACAAAAAGTGCTTGCAAAAGGTAAGGAGAAGATTAAAGGAAATAGCTTGTCAAAAAAAGACAAGATGGCCAATCCACGACAAATACACACCGAGAATATCTTTACAAAAAAAAAAAAAATACAACTAGGAATACTACTTGCATGGAAAAATACAAAACGAGGCAAGAGAACTATGTCGCAATAACGTTGAACGGCTCGAACACAGCATTTGAATAATGGCTTGAGCAAGGCATTTATCTGGCCCCTAATGGTCGGACTGAGCGTCCTGAGGTCGTCCGTTGATATGATGATGGGTGACAGGTGTGCAGCTGGAAGGACAGGTCCACCTCTGCCCCCTGCTGGAGACTTAACAGAATGTAACCATGAGCGTGGCATTTTGTTCCAGCATTTTGAGATCGTTTTTGGCCGACCTCGTTTTTTCCTTTTTAATCTCTTTGATTTCTGGATTGAATAGGCCTGGAGGTAATCAGCCTTGGACGGGGTCGGTGAAAATGAACTGACAAATGTGATTAATCCACTAAATTCATGATTTCACACTGGGGCGAGTCACTTTGAATACCCCCCCTCCTCCCTTTGCTCCACCCTTGATCCATAAAATCACCATTTAAAAACTGCATTGTATGTTTATTGGGTTTATCTTTTGTCTGATACAGTAGTCACACTTTATTGTTACTTTATGTGGAATTGTTTTATTTGTGATCGGCACAGTGAGCAACTGGTTAGCACGTCCACCTCACAGTGCAGAGGTGCAGGTTTCGAATCCGGCTCCGTGTGTGGAGTTTGCATGTTCTCTCCGTGCCTGTGTGGGTTTTATCCGGGTATTTCAGTTTCCTCTCACATTCCCGAAACGTGCAATGTATATTACTTAAAACACTCTAAATTGTCCCCTGGTGTGATTGTGAGTGCGAATGGTTATCCGTCTGTGTGTGGCCTGCGATTGGTTGGCAACCAATTCAGGGTGTACGCCGCCTTCTGCCCGAAGACAGCTGGGATTGGCTCCTGCACGCCCACAACCCGCGTGAGGATAAATGGATTCGAAAATGAATGAGAAGGATGGATGGATTTCTCAATCGTTGCTCATTAATTCCTCTGTGCCTTATTTTTTTCTGCGTGGCATATCAAGAACAATTGACAGTATTACTACTGAAAGATAATTGTCCCATTTAAAATGCCACATTGGTTTGCAATAAAAGTGAAGATAAAGGCAAACGCTTGACATATGTCTACCAACACGCATGAAACGTTTTGTTCGCACACATAAAAGCAAATATGTTCACATATTCTGCAAAACACACAACCACTTATACAAATCCATACAAAGGACATTCATAGAGGAGAGTACGAAATGATGAGCCAAAAGAGAACATGCCAAAAGAGCACATACCGCTGTTCAGCGTGTTCATAAATCAAGTGATTGTCTGCAAACGCTCGAGGCAACAAGTCCTCGGACGACGTCGCCCAAATGTTTTCTCATCTTCATCTGTGGGAAAAAAACGAACAGTGGGAAATCAAAAGGAGAAAAATGGTCTAAAGTGGGCGGCCAACAGACGGTTTTATTGCAATGGGAAGAGGACCTACCCATCATAAACTATTTAGATTAATGCAGTAAATCAAAAATTACACAAGATACACACGTGCACATACACAACCCCCTTTTACTCTATACTGTACTATGAATGTTAACTTTGTTATATATTCATATAGTCAACAGTCTCACACAGCAGGTGATGTTAATCATGAAGATGAAAAAGCTTATCATGCTGCTGATGGTGTTGCGGTGTCATTTACATGAGGCTGCAATTAACGCGTATTTTAATTGATTAATTGTATTTTTAAAAAATCCATCCTTTTGTTCAAAAATAAGACATTGTTTCAAATTGACAGAGCAGAAAAAGCACAAGCTGGTCTGTAACAAGTCAGAAAATAGGGCAAAAATGTTGAGCATTGTTTTCCAAAGTAAAAGCAGATGTTTGCAAATGTGTTGAATTAAAAAAAAAACAGAAACATGAGAGACTACAGAAATCGGAGCATATTTATTGTTGAGGGGCAACAAAATCTCTCTTTTTTTTTAACAGCTGCAGCTGTTGTGAAAGTGCTATACAGTATAAATACAGGTGAGTTGGGTTGAGAATAACATTTATGAATTTAGGGTTACGTTTAATTTGTCTGAAAATAATTCATTAATCCTTTCAAGGACCACCGGTTACGACAGGGGACAGCTTATCAGGTTCCAGAAATAATTACAAACACAATAATAAACCAATAAATACCCCTGACAGCGTCAATCAAAACGAGCATTCGAATTTAATGTGTGCAATTGTACCTAATGATGCGGCCTATGAACTCTCCAAATCCATGGAAAAAAAAAACGGACAGCCACTGAAATTGTCAAACAAATAAAAGAGAAAATTGTATTAGATTGTAAAAATATGTCCTCGGGTATTTCTGAGCTGCCAGTTCCCTGTCAGACATCTGTTTCACCTCCTGGAGGGTGAAGCCAGGCTGAAATGGATCCCACCACTAAGACATTGAATGGCTCACACAGCGAAAACACGGAGCAACCAGTTCAAACATCACACACTCGCAACCTCGCCACGACCTTTCCTCATCCACAACCACCTTCGGATGGCTTCTCACAGGACCCTCGTGACCCCCCAGCCAGGCAGCGACGGCGCGGATGGAAACATGATATATGGCAGATTGTTGGTCTTAAGTGCTGAGGACACACACACACACACACACACACACACACACACACACACACACACACACACACACACAGTCACAGACACGTGGAATTGTTCTTGTAGTACTGTACATTTAAAAAAAAAAAGTTGGGTGAACTCAAAATTTCAAGGCTATAAACTTTTTAAGTTGGGCAATCCAACAAAACATTTTAAGTTTTGCTCATATGAAAATTGGCTCTCCCGCATTTTCAACAAAGAAATAGGGAGTTTATAAAACTAGTTGCCGCTTGTATTGTCCTCCTATGTCATATATCATACCTCGGTTTTCGACCATAATCCGTTCCAGAAGGCTGTTCGAAAAGCAATTTGGTCGAAATCCGAAACTATTTTATTAGCCCATGATTAGGTGCTAATACACTATGGACAAATAAGATAAAAAAACAGTCAGATTTGCGGAAATCACAACAAACACATCTGCTCACAATGAACGCTATACGAGGAAGCCTAACTTCCTTGTGTAAGGAAGCCGAGAGGAGTCAAGTGGCGTACTCAGGTTAGCTCAGTTTGGCCGAAAACTGGTTTTCGGTCGTAATCTGAATCGTAAAAATTTCGAATTTTCTGGTCGAAAACCGATTTAGTCGAGAACAGAGACGTTCGAGAACCGAGGTTTGACTTTAAGTCAAAACAACTCAGCAAATTGTTTTGGAACACACACAATTTGCTTGCTTTGTTGTGCTACATTGTTAACATTAATGTCAATAATTCATATTTTAAAACATGTTCCAAATTAAATTAGTGTTTTAACCCCAAAGGACTTGGCCTTGCATCCATTCACATAAGTGATACCATATGCAGGAAAGTGAACGCTTTCTCACATAGATTAGCACATCATTGACCTTCATGCCACGCCTCAACCTTTTCCAACTTCACAAAGGCAACACGAAAATAGTTTATTCATATCAATATAAAATGAATATATTCCAACGTCAAACTGAGACTTTCATGAACCATTCGTAAACCGTACAGGCATGAACTTTTACAGGAAATATCTGTGGGCATTGTAAGGATGGGCCTGTCAATATGAGACCCTGATGAACTGCTTCAGCAGCCAAAGTATTTGTTTTATTGCGTTATTTTCAGGCTATTTGGACATTGACTGTGTTTCACTATCGTTTTATTGTGTTCTATGCGTGCAGCTGTGCAATGTTTTTTACTCAGGAGAGACAGTAAAGAAAGTTGCATCATCTTATATAAAAAAAATAGATGCCATGCTGAGGCTACATCTAATCTTCAACATATTGAAACTGAGGCACACACGGCAGTTTTTTTAACATCTGTCTGGATCTCCCACACTGAGAAAACACAAAGGACTTCATAAATACATAACAATACATAATCATTTGTCTGCTCTCCAAAAACTGCAAGCAGAACAACACAGGCAGCCATTGTGACATAATCAAGGCAACACTTGGCCCCAAAGAAAAAAAAGCCTAACATTTAAATAAGGCACACACAAATATAAACCTAAACTAATTGAAAGCTTGTCACGCTCGGTACACCTGCACTTCCTGATGCGACACAATTGTAACTGTTGACGTCATAACCACAACACAGCTTTTAAACATATTTCTTTGTAATGGAGCGTGGCATAAATGCGAAACATTTAGCATCGGAATGAAACAACGTAAATACCTGTTTGACTGCATAGTCACAACGTTATGAGGGTAAAATATTTTCGCGTTGCGTTTTGGCTTTTAAGAACCTTCGGTCGTAGCAGAAACGTCAGTTCCGCATAAGGAACATATCATCACATGACGTTTATGGCTCAGGGATTTTCCCACCCATCCATCCATTATCCGAACCGCTTTTGTATTTTTATACACTTTTCTTATTTTTAAGATCCAAAATACTTTAACCTAAGATTGATGGGTATTCAAAATTATTTGAAAATTGGTATTCGTCTTCCCAAGTCCTTATGAACGACTCAACCGATGTTGTTTCACAAAACAACAAGCGAGACTCCTGCTGGCCGCTGCGCTGCGGTTCATAACCACACATACTTGCTGAATGTGAACCAAAGAAGTTGGGAATAGTCATTCTTTCTTGTGCTTGTGTTTTTAACGAGCCCACCACTGTGTGTGTGTGTGTGTGTGTTTTGGGTTTGAATCCAGTGAAAAGGCTCATCTCTGCATCTGATTAGCAGTTGCACCACAACGACGATGCAGAGACTCTCAGTGGCTGAAACGCAAATGGAAATACCATTGCAAAAGGACAGCTAAACCACTGGTTTTTGTTGCATCTGCAGAATGTATTACATCCATTTTCTAATCCGCTTATCGCCACGAGGATCGCGGGCATGCTGGAGCCAATCCCAGCTGACTTTTGGCAGTAGGCGGGGTACACCCTGAACTGGTTGACCAGCCAATCTCAGGACACACATAGACGGACAACAATCCGCGTTCACACTCACACCTGGGGACGATTTGGAGCGTATCATTAAAATAGAAAGAGGACCGGAGATAGTGGCAACGTCGTCGGCAAGGAAATACTTGTTTGGAAAATACTTCATACCGTCCGGGGAACCCACGTTTCTACAGCTGTGGGTTTGAGCAACTCTCAGGGCTACAATACGTTTTTATTTCAAATATGCTTTATTAATCACATGTTAACAGAACACAAGAAAACTATTCTTTTAAACAATCGGAAAAATGATGAACATCGTTTAATCTTCGAAGGATTTTTGCACCTTCAACTTGAAGTCCTCCACCATCTTCTTAAGCCCCTGCACGGCCTTCTCATCGTCCTCCAATGCCTTCGAGTAGCAGTGCTGACTGTGGCTGAGCAGGTCCTTCAGACAATTCTGTAGCACAGCAGCAACGTGAGACAGCACTTAAGGCTCTCGCATCCACTTCCTAGGTGCGCTGAAAGGATAAATGTGAACAGGAGCACGAGAGAGCTACCTCTGTGGCAGACAAGTGGTCTGCTGCTGTGGTGAACATACTCGTGAGGTTGTTGCAGACCGTTCGTCTCTGCTCGTTGGTTTCCAGCAGCACCAGATGGTACCTCAATGACACAAATGTTAATTTTAAAGGGACATTCTGGAAAATTGACTTTTTAATTTCTTGTGTAAAAACATAGAACATGGGTCTCTGCCCTCTGGAATGCCAACCAAATTGAAATTGGGTCTAGGAATGAACCTCTAATCCTCTTATTGTTGTAACACCTGACCGCAAGAACCAAGGGCATGGAAAATTCTACTGGTTCCCCCCCACCCCCCACACACACATGCACACACCCCACACCCACATACACACCCTGCTCACCACCATGATGTGGTGGAAATATGCAGGGGTTCACTTAGAGGGGGAATTTTAGAAAAAAATACTTTTATACTGTGTGGTTGCTATTTCTTCTTGCAATTATCATCTTGAAACTCATCGGGGAGATACTATTTTAACCCTAACACTTCACAAAATAATTTGCTCAAAATTATTATTGCATCATTTAAATCATAAATATTTTTGTGCATTGCTAAATATGACGTCCAACAGGCCAATAAAATTGACAATGAAGCAATTACTCCTCCTGACCTCTTTGGCCCAATGAAAAGCTCTAAAATTATAATCACATCTGATATCTGCATGATCAAAGTCTTTTTTTTTTTTTTTTAGTCAATGGATATTTTTTCAAGAATAATGTATTTTTTACGAACAAAAGGCTCACCTTCTTGTGTGTGTGTGTGTGTGTGTGTGTGTGTTTGTGTGTGTGCGTGTCTGTACATACAGTACCTCTCTTATGCTGTTCAAAAATGAGGAGAGACTAATTGACACGGCTCTCGCAGTGGATCTCACTAGTGTACCTAATTGAGTGTCCACCCTGCGAGCCACTCACTGTTGCTTCAGTGCCTTATTCTCCTGCATGGCTTCCTCGTAACCCCAGTTGATCTTCTCCTCGAGAAGATTGCGATTGCTCTCCACCATCTCCACCTCCTTCGCCCACTGTTTGTCCTCTCGCTCCACCTCCTACACACACACACACACGGAGAGCACCGCACAGATTAGAGGTGCAGAGGTGCTTCTGTCTGCGCCAGATGGCAAGTGTAATTCATACCTTCCGGCTGGCATCCCAGCGGTCATCCACCTTGCGGATCTGCTCTCTCAGCTGCTTCAGGTCGTTTTCCTTGTCGAAGATGTTGGACATCGCCTAAAGCGGGAACAAAAGAGTTCATCTTTAAAAGCTGTTCTGGCTCAACTCCACAACCATCTTCGCACCCATAAATTGTAAGAAAAGTTTTAGTCCAGTTTCCGACCAGCTCACGGTACAGAGACAGCCTTGGTCCACGTCATAAAGAATTTACTAATGACTGCTGACTATGGCTGGACTTTCTGGGAACATACTAAGATGGATCCAGTCATATCTCACGGGCAGAACCGAGCATGTGGCCTTAGATCATCACCGCACTTGGTATAATCTGTCGCGTGCCATGAGGCTCAGTCGTTGACCCAACCCCTTTTACAATATACATGCTTCCCTGAGGTCACATAATCCATAAACACGTTTTCTTGCATTGTTACGCTGATGATACTCAATTATACATAAAACACTCCCATCAGAAATGCCATTTGCATTTCACGCCAACGTGAAGGAGAGAAGGACCTGGATGGCAAAAAACAACAAAAGTGAAGCCATCATAATTGGCACGCCACATCAAACCAAATTACTCTCATTCAACAAAATCCATATTTTTGGTCACATCATCTCCCTGTCCTGTTGCATTACAAACTGAGGAGTCCGATTCAACTCACATCTTTCATTTGATTAATTTCCTCTGCTGCTATTAAAGTTAACGTGGACTGATTGTGATGCCTTCACGTGAATGCTCACAATTTGTTTTTCACCAACCAATTCGCGGACCATGTGCATTTCTTTAGATGTTTAAAATGTGAGGTGTGTAGTGTTGGTCACCTCGATAGCACTATGCGCTATGCTATTCTGTCAGAGCTGTAAAATCACACAATTTTTTTCTTCACCGTGTGTGTGTGTGTGTGCGCGCGCGTGTCTGTGTGTACCCGAAACAATTTTCATCACCTGTTCACAAGACTGCTCCAGACTGAACTTGCTGTTGGACAGTCGACTGCGATCCTCTTCCACGTCATTGGTCAGCTTTTTCAAAAGCATCTATAATGCGACATAAAAAGCGGTTGACAGCAAAAGGAATACAGACCAAAGTATCACATGAGAGCAAATCCACTGAGTACCTGTGTCTGTGAGTTGAGATGGACGTTCGCAGGTCCATATTCAAAAGGCCTGAGTTCAAAGTCATGGCCGCAGGCATTCTCCGCAGATATCGGTATCAGCTTCAGCTTGCGAGCCAGCTTGTGATACTCGCTAAGCTTCAGCTCAGCCTGGAATGTTTACGGGAAAGGACAGTCACAATAAAAGCAATGTCATTCACATCAGGTAAAGCGTCTTACCTACCTTGTGTCTTTGAAGTGAGATAATTACGGTTAGGAAGCTCAACACTTAATGTCTGTCATCATTGGATAGGAATACCTTCTCTTTGACTTTGGCCAGCGCGATCTCTTCGCTCCACTTGGACTGCTGGGCGTGTTCCAGAGACTGGCTCTGACTGGCGATGGCCTGCTGAAGCTCCCGCTTCTCCCGGTTGATCCGTTGTACGTCCTCCGGCTTGTACTTTTGGTTGCGCAGGACCTTTTGTAGCTCGCCCTGCTCGAGTTTAAGAGACTCGAGATTGCCGGCTGCAGAGAAGAACAAAATGAAAAGAGTTCAATTAAATGTTCATTTATTCAAATGGGTGAAAGCACTTCTCCGAATAGTCGAACCTCTTTTCAATGTACCCAGTTTACATTTCCATCCGTATAACACATTTCAAAGTCCCGATTTCACGTAATTCATTTTCCGTTTGACAATTTTGCTGAGAATGAACACCTTTATCATGAAAACTTCATTATAATGACCAGATTTCCCCCACAAAATAAGATAAGATAAGAAAACCTTTATTAGTCTCGCAATGGAGAAATTCCCAATTCACAGCAGCAAAGTTATGAATGGAAGAAGTAGAACAACAAAATATAGGAGCTGCTGGAAAGGCAGCCACTCACGCGGCGCCATCTTGAAGTCAAAATAACAAAAATAACACAACACAACACATAGGACACAGACAGTCGTGCAATCTTCACCACTTTCCTGCATACACTTTGTTGTCTGAAGCAGTTATAGATGAAAGAGGAGAGGATCAAAGTGTCCTTTTACCAGTGGATCAGAGACGTCATGCTGAAAATGTGCACGTCTGCTACAAGCTAAGTTTTGAAAGCAAACACGAAACTGTTGCGTCCATTGACGAAAAGAGATTGGCTCACATCTCCTGTCCCATGTAAATCCGCTTCAATTCCAAGCGGCGATTCCCAGTTCCACATACGCATCTGCGCTCTGCGCTGACGCTCCTTTCTTCTCATCGTCGGCTCCTCAAGCCTTGCATCCATCCAGCCGCAGACCGTTCAACAGCACCGATCTCTCCGCTGAACAAAGCGGGGCTGTGAAAATGCTGCCCATTACAGGCGCAAGACACAAGCGCCCCCGGAGCTGTCCAGCAACGACAGTCAAATGGCGCCGACATTCCTCCCAATCAAAAACAGTGCTGGCATACCCATGCTGCCGAGAAGGCAAAACCACCAAGCACCGAGTCTCCTCCTTGATGAATGTCGTGGCCAAAAAATGCTGAAAACAGTCCACATCAGGTCCACACGACGTAACAACAAACACAAAGTGACAAAACAAACAGAAAAACAACAAAAAAAGCAAGGCTCATGAGAGCACTTGCAGATGGCTGCCTACTCGGGCGCCATCTTGGACTAGATGTGAAATAATAAATAGTGAAAAGGCCTTCGTTTCATCGAACCGTGGGAAGTTAATTGTCACCGCGACTTTGCTTTTGAACAAAATGTACAGCGCGGGATTTCCCTCCGTTGCTTAGCAACGCTCACAGATCGACTCGTACATTGTTTGTTGTACTTCCGGAGGCACCGGAAAAACAAAACCCATAATGTCGACGAAACTTTCTGTAGAGTATTTTTTTAAAACTGCCAGTTATTTGTAAGAAAACGTTTATATTTGTGTTTTTTTAAAACGCTTGGGCATGAAAAAAGGTTTAATCTTTGGTTTCATTCAATACAGTATTGTATTCTATACGGAATAATTGTAAAAAAAAAATAATAATAATAATAATAAAGATGACGACTTCACAGGAAGTGCACAGGAATTGCAGAGGTCAACTGCACTGATGTTTCATCCCCCTTGCTCTCCCATTCAATCCATTTGTAGAAAAAACGTGCCTCATCCCTCATAAAACGCTGTTATGCTCCACGGGCCACTATATGAGCAAAGAAGTTAAGTTGACATAAACGAATGTTTCCTTTTACCAGCGCGGTTCAGCTCATCATCCAGCTCTGAGTACTTTTTCTCTTGATTTGCTTGGAAGGCCTCCACTTGGGCAGAATAGTCACGCAGCTTATGGAGGTCTGACTGCAGCCTCATCTGTTCCGTCCTCTTGACCTGGAGACGGTCCTATCAGGGAATAGGGATGCGTTTGCTGGTCAGAAAATCAACAGCAAATGAGCTCAGTGTCACGATTGCCCGCGATTACACACTTGATGACACACGCTGTGCATGAAATTTAGGTTTAACGCACAGTCACAATCAAATATAAAATGATAATAATGACCTTTTGGTTTTCCTTCTCCAGTCGTTCAACCTCTTCCATCATCATCTTGTGCTTCTGCTCCATGGCAACCAGCAGCTCTTCATCATAACGCCACATCTTCTCTGCGAAATCACGCACAAACACACACCCACACATAAACAAATGCACATACGTATGGACAAACATATGAACGAAGGCAGTATCCCAACACAAAAAAGGAGAGACACCAACACAGGCAATAAAATATGAACGTTGTTCCATCCTATTTCTCAAACAGAACGGAACTGCTTCAAATACATCTTACTCAATTCAGAGATGAAGGCCTCGTCGTCCTCCTCATAGGTGTCCTCGCCTTGCATGAATTTGGTGTATGTGGTTCCTGTGTAGTCCAGAAAAAGCTGCAGACGGAAGAATGTTTTGGATGAAATAAGCACACCCGCACAGTAAAGATGTTGTCAGGCAGTTCCTTAGTTCACGGCCTGAGATCTGAATCAATTTATGGCTTTGTAAACATATAGCTCTTGCACAGGATCGTAATAGATTAAAGCATGCATGGTGCTATTTGCGATCAGGGATTGGCTGGCGATCATGAAGGGGGCACCTGCCTTTTAGCCAGAGTCTGCTGGGATAGGTTCCAACTCACCCACAATCCTAATGAGAAAATTGCTGGCTGGATGAATTATCCATCCAGTCAATGTAAATCAAAGTACCCGATTGTAATCTGCGCTGTCATCAATGTTGTCGCTGCCTTCGCAGAAGTCGCTGAAGAGCAGATCCTGCTGGTTCAGGCTTGTGCAGATCTGGCGACATGACAGAGCAGTGATCTCTAATTTCAATTACTCAAGCAACATTTATTTTATTTTACTTTTTTAAACGTAACTGTTCACCTTGACATTGTCAATTAACCACATCAGGGCACCCAGTGCCTGAGGCCATGTGTGGGGAGCTCCCACGGAGTACATGGAACTCTTGGAGAGAACATACGGATATCTGCAACACAAACAGAGAGAGGGAGAGAGATGGATAAATATTTAAGTCTGGTCTCACTGAGGGTGTCACGTGGTCGACTGGTTAGCACGTCCGCCTCACAGTGCAGAGGTGCAGGGTTTGATTCCGGCTCCTGCCTTCCTGTGTGGAGTTTGCATGTTCTCCCTGTGTCTGCGTGGGTTTTCTGCGGGTACTCCCACATTTCATAACCATGCATGGCAGTTTATGGAACACCCTACATTGTCCCTCGGTGTGAGCGTGGACGGTTGTTCATTTATGTGTGCCCTGCGATTGGCTTGTAACCAGTTCAGGGTGTCCCCCCCGCTTACTACACGAAGACAGTTGGGTTAGGCACACCACACTTGAAGGATGGGCAGAGGAACAGGACTATGAATGAGTACTTAGCACAACTGCCTCACACTTCTGAGGGTCGCATTATAAAGAGCACTTGCAGATGGCTGCCTACTCGGGCGCCATCTTGGACTAGATGTGAAATAATAAATAGTGAAAAGGCCTTCGTTTCATCGAACCGTGGGAAGTTAATTGTCACCGCGACTTTGCTTTTGAACAAAATGTACAGCGCGGGATTTCCCTCCGTTGCTTAGCAACGCTCACAGATCGACTCGTACATTGTTTGTTGTACTTCCGGAGGCACCGGAAAAACAAAACCCATAATGTCGACGAAACTTTCTGTAGAGTATTTTTTTAAAACTGCCAGTTATTTGTAAGAAAACGTTTATATTTGTGTTTTTTTAAAACGCTTGGGCATGAAAAAAGGTTTAATCTTTGGTTTCATTCAATACAGTATTGTATTCTATACGGAATAATTGTAAAAAAAAAATAATAATAATAATAATAAAGATGACGACTTCACAGGAATTGCAGAGGTCAACTGCACTGATGTTGCACCCCCCTTGCACTCCCATTCAATCCATTTGTAGAAAAAACGTGCCTCATCCCTCATAAAACGCTGTTATGCTCCACGGGCCACTATATGAGCAAAGAAGTTAAGTTGACATAAACGAATGTTTCCTTTTACCAGCGCGGTTCAGCTCATCATCCAGCTCTGAGTACTTTTTCTCTTGATTTGCTTGGAAGGCCTCCACTTGGGCAGAATAGTCACGCAGCTTATGGAGGTCTGACTGCAGCCTCATCTGTTCCGTCCTCTTGACCTGGAGACGGTCCTATCAGGGAATAGGGATGCGTTTGCTGGTCAGAAAATCAACAGCAAATGAGCTCAGTGTCACGATTGCCCGCGATTACACACTTGATGACACACGCTGTGCATGAAATTTAGGTTTAACGCACAGTCACAATCAAATATAAAATGATAATAATGACCTTTTGGTTTTCCTTCTCCAGTCGTTCAACCTCTTCCATCATCATCTTGTGCTTCTGCTCCATGGCAACCAGCAGCTCTTCATCATAACGCCACATCTTCTCTGCGAAATCACGCACAAACACACACCCACACATAAACAAATGCACATACGTATGGACAAACATATGAACGAAGGCAGTATCCCAACACAAAAAAGGAGAGACACCAACACAGGCAATAAAATATGAACGTTGTTCCATCCTATTTCTCAAACAGAACGGAACTGCTTCAAATACATCTTACTCAATTCAGAGATGAAGGCCTCGTCGTCCTCCTCATAGGTGTCCTCGCCTTGCATGAATTTGGTGTATGTGGTTCCTGTGTAGTCCAGAAAAAGCTGCAGACGGAAGAATGTTTTGGATGAAATAAGCACACCCGCACAGTAAAGATGTTGTCAGGCAGTTCCTTAGTTCACGGCCTGAGATCTGAATCAATTTATGGCTTTGTAAACATATAGCTCTTGCACAGGATCGTAATAGATTAAAGCATGCATGGTGCTATTTGCGATCAGGGATTGGCTGGCGATCATGAAGGGGGCACCTGCCTTTTAGCCAGAGTCTGCTGGGATAGGTTCCAACTCACCCACAATCCTAATGAGAAAATTGCTGGCTGGATGAATTATCCATCCAGTCAATGTAAATCAAAGTACCCGATTGTAATCTGCGCTGTCATCAATGTTGTCGCTGCCTTCGCAGAAGTCGCTGAAGAGCAGATCCTGCTGGTTCAGGCTTGTGCAGATCTGGCGACATGACAGAGCAGTGATCTCTAATTTCAATTACTCAAGCAACATTTATTTTATTTTACTTTTTTAAACGTAACTGTTCACCTTGACATTGTCAATTAACCACATCAGGGCACCCAGTGCCTGAGGCCATGTGTGGGGAGCTCCCACGGAGTACATGGAACTCTTGGAGAGAACATACGGATATCTGCAACACAAACAGAGAGAGGGAGAGAGATGGATAAATATTTAAGTCTGGTCTCACTGAGGGTGTCACGTGGTCGACTGGTTAGCACGTCCGCCTCACAGTGCAGAGGTGCAGGGTTTGATTCCGGCTCCTGCCTTCCTGTGTGGAGTTTGCATGTTCTCCCTGTGTCTGCGTGGGTTTTCTGCGGGTACTCCCACATTTCATAACCATGCATGGCAGTTTATGGAACACCCTACATTGTCCCTCGGTGTGAGCGTGGACGGTTGTTCATTTATGTGTGCCCTGCGATTGGCTTGTAACCAGTTCAGGGTGTCCCCCCCGCTTACTACACGAAGACAGTTGGGTTAGGCACACCACACTTGAAGGATGGGCAGAGGAACAGGACTATGAATGAGTACTTAGCACAACTGCCTCACACTTCTGAGGGTCGCATTATAAATCTCAACTCAGCCTTGTCATGTGGAGGTTGGGTGTCTTTCTTCGGCTACATTAGCTTCCTCTCACATTTCAAAATCATGCACGGCAGGTTTATCGAAAAGTTCGAATTGTCCATTAGGGTGAATGTGAGAAAGTCAGTTTGAATACTTGTTTACCTATGTGCTCTGCAGCTGACTGGCGACTTGACTGGTGTGCTCAGCCTCTCGCCCCAAAGTTAGTTGGGAGAGGCTCCAGCACACATGGCACTCAAGTTGCCAATGTACATTTGCTTAGTAATTTTGGTAATATACTTTTGCTTTCTCTGCGTTGCTTCTGAACGTTGTTAGCTGTTGCGTTTGTAAATGATTTTAGGTCTTGTGTCTTTGCTTGTCTGAAGCACATTGAGTTGCCTCGTACACGAAATGTGCTATTTGTAATGTGCAGCTTATGAAGCTGCCTTGCTTTGCCTAATGAGCACGAGCACTATGGAAGAGAAAGGGATTAGTTGGTAGGAGGGGAATGTCTTGGCCATATACTCCCATGCAATTTATATAACAAAACCTCAGAGAGGAACTGTTTTTAAGGCAAACAGGATAGTTTGTAACCTGAGCGACTTAAGGAGAGCTGGAACCTCCTCCTCTACTTTGGAGCTGGGCATTTCAAAAGTGGGATCCAGCTGACGATAGATGAACTCAAAGAGCTTGACAAACTCCTTGGTGGACGGTGACTGGAGCGTCTTGGGTGCCACATTGTATCCAAGCTCTGTCAGGAACTAAACCAAAAGAAAAAACAAATAATTAATTAAAGATCCCATGACACACTTCTTTCTTTTTTTAAATTTAATAATCTTCATTTCAGATTTTTAGTATAGTTTGGGTTGGAAATGTCCAGGATGCCAGTTTTCCAAGTTACTCCAGTTGGTGAAAAATGCCTGGCAGATGTGATGGCTGGATTTCCCATTAATGCTAGACACGTGAATAGGTTTTGTTCTGATTGGATCCCTGTTCTCCTTATAGTGAAAATGATGCTTTGACGCTGAAGTAATCACAAACGCCACTGAGATGTATCCTAAATCTGAGCGGCAATTGCTTCATTGCGTTGTCCAAATGTGGTTGTGATGTAATGTAGTTAAATATTACTTTTGGAATACAAGCTGGATACTTACGGCTGGTAGGGTAAAAAACAAAAACATTCATCTTCCATTAAATGTGCTTGAACACATGGCAATTTCGGTTCCAAAATGCTGGAGAATTTCTCCCAACATAAAGTGAAGCCTTTTTTTTCAATGACTCCTCAAAGGCTTAAAAGTGATCCAAAGTTTTAGCTTTGCACAAAATGGAGCCGCGTTACTCCTCAGCCATTTTTCCTGAGTTGAGTGGGGGTGTCTCAACCACGGACTGAGCAGGTACATGGATAATGAGCAGTAGCTTATCTACGTCATGACACCTAAATTTGACAATTGAGTGCAGGGTTTCAAACTTCACGTTCATGTCCCGCCATTCAATTTGGGAGGTTCCACTAAACTAGAGGATACTGGATACAAACATTGCCCAGGGGTTTTTACATTTTTGTGATGTGCTTTTGTCAAACTGCCCCCAAGATCAAGAATGACAGCAGATTTTTATCCTTCTTTTACAGACTCACCACTTTTTGCCTGAAATAGTTTGAAAAACAACAAAAACAAAACTCTCTTTTTCGTTAATGGATGCTACAGCTTCTTGTTGCTTTCAAGCTTAGCTTGAAGCAAACGTGTGCACATTGCAGCATGATGTCTGGTGAAAAGGACACTTTGATTCGCTCCTCTTTCATCTATAACTGCTTCAGACAACAAAGTGTATGCAGGAAAGTGGTTAAGATTGCACGATTGTCTGTGTCTCATGTATTGTCTTGTATTATTTTGTCATTTTTTTGTGAACTTTTCTTTTGATGGCGGCGCGGCCACCCGCAGCGGCTCCTCTTGTTTTATGTTGAGAGGGAAGAAATTTCATCTGTGCTGTATGTCAGCGGCTCCTCTTGTTTTATGTTGAGAGGGAAGAAATTTCATCTGTGCTGTATGTTACACATACTGTACGTACATCACATTTGACAATAAAGTTGTATTCAATTCAAAAACAACAAAAAAATGTGTATGCGGCGCGTAAAGCATTGCCACAGCCAAACCTACCTCATGAAGCTGTCTGATGCACTGCTGAACAAAGGCTTTGTCATGCAGAGGCCGTGTATCTTTGAGTTTCTCTGGTCCTCCAAAGCCATAAATGGAGCTGCTGCGTGGCATACTGGCTCCACTTGCACTGCGCTCAACAACAACAAAAACTACATGTACAATACTGTATGTACTGCATACAATGATGTCCCAAAAGTCGGTGTATTCTCAGGCTGCATGATATGGAGGGAAAATCACATTTTTCTCAAAGATTTTTTTCAACCCAGTAATAATATTGTGATGTGTAAAATATACAGCATAACTTGCTTGTGACGTGCAAACCAGCACACGTTTGTCGTAGTTCAAAAGAGGAATTCACGGAATAGTTCAGGGTACCCCCTCACAGAATCTTTAAGGAGCTTCCTTGTTCAGTTCATGATTCAGCCCCGTTACACTGACGTCAGGTTGTTCAAAGACTTTAAGCAGACGATTGCCATGCTCAACAACCCAAAGATGGCAGATATTGTTTTATCACTCTCTAAAGCAAGTGCTGAATCGAGGCTTTGTCGAAGTTGAGTTCCAGTGTAACCCTCAGGAAAGCCTTTGTGCAAACGCCTGCTCTAAAAGGCAATATAATTAGGGCTGGGTGATTATATGGACGAGATTCGTGATATTATGTGACCTGCAGCGATCTACGAGAATATTTACGCCATTATGCATGGCGGAAACGTGTGCGACTCTAGCTAATCCCCATTCTAACATTGGTTTGCAAATTTAAATTTGTTGTGCTATTGAATAAAACAGTTTGAAATGAATTAAAAAATGTTCATAAAATGTTTAATTACTTTATAATTATCCTTGTTGTCAGTACCATTGCTTTAAAACTGGCAATTTAAAAGCGCTGGAAAAAAATGGTTTTCGGTCCGCGAACAACACGTACTCGTCTCAACTGGTCCGTGACACAAAAAAGGTTGGGGACCACCGGTTTACAGCATTTCCATTGTTCACATACCGTTGACCAAAGAAGCTTTTCTGCCGGTCAGATGTCTGTGACAGTGGTTTGGATATGCTGAGCTTTCCCATTGAAGGCTTGTCACTGTCAATAAAAACAAAGCAGTTTAATTGCAATTTCCTTTTTTTGGTTTGTTTTTTAAAGAAGGCTTCCCTAAATTAACTTGCAACACAAAATTATGAGCAAAATCACAATATATTTGTGGTAGCCAAGACGAACAAATTAAACAACAAAACAGGAGTGAAACAGTCTAATAGTAAACCGTGACATTTTCTATGACCGTGTTCATGGGAGTCAAATAGCTGAGTAAAAGTCTCTCTCATCTTTCACCAACAGAAAGAGATGAAGGTACTAATCACAGTAGAACATGATAACGGAGGTTGAGACTCAGACAGTGAAGATGTTAGATTTCATGACTGTAAATAATTTATTATGGATCATGTTTATATTCCTGTTTTGAAGAAAACAGACATTTTGACATTATTTGCAATTAATCTGGTGGAAGTTGATGCAAGGTAAGACTGGGGAGAACTTGTTTGCTAATGGTAGAAATAAAGCAAAAACAAAAAAAAAACCCAAAAAAAAGACTTGTTTTGAATAATGACAATATAATTCAGCTGTATTTTTGGAACAGAAAGGGATTTTTTTTTAATGAAAAATCGGATTTCATTAAACTAAAACCTAAAATGCGCTCTTCACATTGCGCAATGACAATAAATATTCTGACTGTAATTTTTGTGAACGAAATCACAAAAGAGATTTTATTTTAACACCCTATGGGCGATGCAGTTTAAAAAAAAAAACAAAGAACCAACCTGCGGGGAGTTGTGTACGCAGTGCTCATCCTGTTGGAGTCATGCACTCGCATGGGCAGCTCAGACAGCCTGCTTGCGGCTCTGCTCGAGGCTCTGCCCATTCTTCGTCTGGCCACAAAAGTCACATATACAAAGAAAATAATATGTTCAAATATGTTACACGATGAATACCCAACGCAAAATGTTCACGACACAGCGTGTTCAGAGTCAACTCAAATTTTCTAGTTTTAAACTTTCATTGATGTATACTACATACTGTACTGTACATACATGTATTGTTATGACGTTAATTGTGCTCCGCCTTCTTGGCCAAACAACCCTTGAAATAGAAACTTCGATCTCGGCTGTTTAATCTTATATAACCGACAGTATTTATTTCCTTGTGTAGTTATATCGTACATATCAGAGATTCCGAGTCTGAGGTCTAAATTAGACAAGTACCAAAGATGAATCCGTACTTCTACTTTGACCAGACTTTCGTTACAATAATACGACTTGTAATACGACTTTATACTATTACAGAGTTGCGGTATTTTTGTTAGCCCTGCCTGACAGTTAAAACTAGTTTGCGTCAATTACAGTATAGGTATAATGGACAATTGAAGCCGTTTCTTGCAACCACTTCTTTTTGGATTGGCAATGTTGAAAAGACAGGATCAGTTATTTAAAAAAAGAGGGAGTCTTTATCCGTCTTTCGAAAGGGTAGAAGAACGTATTCCAGAAGGAATTGGTCCTTAAATCCGATACATACCGGTCCATTTTTATCCTTCTTGAGCAAGGGGCGGAAATAAACGGACTGATAAATAAAATCGCAAAAACCGCCAACACAGTGCATTCAAAATGGCCGCGTCGTGACATCATCGCAGTAAGGCAAGTCATTTGCGCCAAAAAGAGAATAAATGCGGCGAAACACATCATTCACCGTGTAAAATAACTAATAGCATACTGTACTTTTAAACGCACGGTGGATGACGTTGGGGAGAAGTTATGTTAATATAATCATATAATTGTTTTCAGCTAGTATTTGGATAAGTGTAGCTCCGCTTGTATGTAGTTAAATTAATTTTCAGGGCACGAAAGGCGTTCAAAACCCTTTCAAATAGTACCACTGAAAAACGTCGCTTTCCAGCACATACAAAAGTGAAAAGTTATTTACTCACAGTACTCAAATAAGATCTTAGACACGCTAGTCCAGACCACTGGAATATTGCCCCCCCCCCCACTGACTTTTTTTGTACGCAAATAACTGACGAACACGCACCTAAAATACTCACACATCATACTAAAATGGTCTCATACATGACACTCCGACGAATGCATGTGCCTTAGTAGTGTACTGTCTCAGTCGCGCGTGAGGCAATCCTGAATTCTTTCCCTGACAGGCAGCCCCTCAAGTGGCACAAGAACGCACACTCAGTTTGTAACTCCGTTTTCATATTCTTTGCCCAAAAGTACTTTTCATGCAATTGGTTAAGATGATACTGACATAACAGCTCGTTGTGGCATAGAAATTTTGAACGGCATCATTAACCGAGGACTCCCTGTAAGGTATCCAGTTACATGGCAATCCAGTTACAGCTGCACTTTCTATGAATATACGGTGCTATTTTGGGAAAAAAATCTGAAAAGATCATTGTGACACTTTCAGGAGACAAATGACAAAGAGAAGTAGAAAATTTATTGCAGTATTTGTTCCACCCCCCCAAAAAAGGTTATGAATCCCCTTTTGCTCTTATTACTAAGGTGACCTAAGACAACAAATATCTACATTTACAAAATATCCTTCTGCAATAGGCCACATATATACTGCATGCGTAGTTCGAAATAAATTATATTCAGAGGACTCTGCCATTGTACAGCATGGACAAATAAAAGTGAACAAAAATAAAAATTATTTTCTCTCCTTTTTTTGTTTCTTTTTCTTTCAAATATCTAAAAGCTTGAAGGGGAAAAACATTAGGTTCTAGTAGTATAATAAACTCCAAAAAACACTTTAATAAGAACATCAAAAAGACTAGTTTCCAACATTCACTTAAGGTTTTATTCTTTTTTTTGTTTGTTTTGTTTTTTACAGTTTTGTCTTCAGAGATATAAACATTGTTTAGTTTTTCTGTTTGTGTTAAACTATGATACAGTGGGAGTAGAAATGAGCGACTAGAATCGGCTGCACAACAGCGAAGGAGCTCCCACGACAATGTTGACCAAACATTTCCCCCCCTCCAGGTCTCTTCTGGTAAAAGCCTTCCAACAGAGGGTTTAAACTGGAGCAAATGATTTCCTTTCAATATGCCTTCTGGATCCTATATCCTCTCTGTGCGTGTACACATTTAAACACAAACATGAGCAGTCCCTCTCATATAATAATAATAATAATAATAACAATAATTATAAGTCTTTTTTGAAAGAAGAACTCATGTAAAAGTATGTAGTGTCTTGTGTTTTGCTTACAAAAATGAGGAAGAGGAAGAGAAAGGGTGAGAATCCAGTGAAGTTTGGCCGTGTTGAAGGAGGCGGCAGGGGATTGGGAAAAGAGGAGGAATTCAAGAAACAAACAAAAAAAACAAAAACAAAAAACAAAAGCACAGGAGCCATTAGCTCGCTCCTCCTTCCCGTGCTGCGTACAGTGACCGTAAAGTCTGCACTACTTTGTTGCTAAGTTTGTGGTTGCTGGTCAAGGAAATCTTCTTGTAAATGACGTCCGACTCCTTGATAGTGTCCACCCAAGGCACCAGTTTGCGACCGTCGCGCTTTTTGGCCTCCGCCCATGGCCCCGAGTAGGAGCCGGCCATCCAATGGATGGCGTAGCCGCTGGGAGTCTTGTGGACCACGCGGGCGATCTGCGGCCGGTCCTTGTACTTGGGGCAGCACAGGGCAATCACGTCCATCACGTCCACTGTCTCGCTCATTCGGCCCGGGTCTGACGGGTCGACTGTTCGTCTCGACCTCCGAGAAGACTACAAGGGGGCAAGAGGACAATGATGGCAGAAGTGAGCACACTTAATGCTTGTGGGAGAGGTTAAGGGATGTCCTGTAATTGTTCTTGCATCAATTTAGCCGTTTTCACCTCGAAAATTAGTTAATTAAAATTGCACATTTACTTGCATCCCAATAAATTTTATCACTACAACTGAAACACACTCACTCACTCTCTGTCATTCTCATTCATACGCACGCAAAAGCACACACACACTCAAAATGAAGTTATTCACTCAGACTACGGAAATTTTTCACAAGCGAATGAAGAAAAACAATCAACCACACACACTGCTGAAGAGCCCTCTCAAGTGATAAATTCACTCACTGAAACACTACTACTCTGCCCATGCCAAAACTATTTAAAAATCTGATATTAAAAAAAATAGCTTTGGCGCCATCCGATGGCGTTTTGGTGCAAAGCACCCACTTTCAAAAAAGATTGCATCAACTCATTACTCTTATGCTGTGCTCCAGAAAAGTGGGAAGCCACAGGTTTCCGTCCTTTGACCAGGAAAAGTGCACTGGAACACTACTCTAACTGGGAGGTCCAAGTTGCGAAGTCGGAGAAAAAATATCTACCCTGATGTATGGATGGGCTGATATTACATTTTGATGGTATGAAAACCATTCGCAAAAATATCACACAATTGAAATTACAGTTCTAAAATGTCCTATTTAAATCTCTCTCCCTCACCCTCTCGCTCCCATTTATTTTTTAAAGGACAATGTACATTAGTCGAGAGCAAAAGTCAGGTGTATTCTCTCTTCGTCCTTACTCCCTCCTCTCCGATTGCCTGTGTGTGTGTGCAACTGCTCACCTCTCCCACCTCTGCTCAGCTGAGGAGGAGAGGGGAGGAAAAAAACTGGTCTCTCATAATTAACCTCAAATAGGCGGCTTCTGTGGGGTTCTCTGCAAACAGGCATTCGATACAATAAAGGCGATTTAAATGCCGTAACAATGGCTTTTCTGTAAATAAACCTATATTAATTTAACTGCAAATAAACACAATAGAATAGTGTTTCTTTCCATTTTATTTTAAAACCAACTCAGCTATACTAATTCAAAATGTAAACCAAAAAACCTGCATTGTTATGTGCGAATTAAAAATGAAAACGATTAGGATAATAGCACATTCAATTTAGATGCAACTTTCAAACTTGTCCCAGCATTCATAAAATGTTTATAAATAATGGCGCAAATTAAATCGAATAAAATAGAAAATTAAACACTGTCTTTCTTCTCTTGACATGGAACCCTTATTTATCCAAAATGTTTTGCTTTGATTCACTAGCATGAATAATTTAAAAGTGGGTCAAGAAATATGCCGTTTTTTGATTTCTCGAAAAGTGGTGTTTTTGGACAAGCAAGGAATACGCCAGACAGCGATCAAGTATTTCTCCATAGGTCTCACCCCCGGAGTCCGCTCGTCACCGTCACTGTAGTCGTCATCTGTCTCTGGTCCTGCCTGATTACGCGGACTAGGTCCCAACAAGGGTCCCGAGCCTCCCAGCAGGGCATTTATGGCTTTGTTTCGGATGTTGGCGCTTGCTGACGCTTCTCCCTCCTCATCTTCCTCGTCTGGGTCCAGATGTTCCATCAGCACCTTGAACTACATCCAGGACAAATGTCAAAAGCACTGGTCAGCGGCTCGTCCAGTTGCCATCAACTGGGAACAAACATTATTGACATACACAGATCGAAGGCAGCACATCTCAGACAGTAGTGTTGGTAAATTTTTTTCATGGGCTTGGTATGTTCCACTTCATAGCACCAGATTTCACACAGGATTTTTCAAATCAAAATTTTCACATTTTCTGAGTCATTAGTTTCCTTTTCAAAAAAACAAAACTCCTTTCTAGGGATGCACGATGACTATTGGACCAATAATGGGACCAATATTTTTAATTCACATAAAAGGAGGAGCGAATATGTAGTTTTCTGAAAATAACTGCCTACACTGTACGACAAACCGCTGACAAGATTGGCCAGGTGAATGAACATCAGGTATGATTCTTATGTGTGTAGGGGTCACAAAACTTATTATATTAACACTATATTAGGCAAGCAAAAACTTGTAGTTTTACCTTCTTCTGAGCAGTTCATATGCAACGTGCATTTGGACTGGTGCTGGTGGTCGGTCGGACTATTTGTAATTTCCCACAGGAATAATACATTGTTAAACAATGCAATATTTTTATCTTAATATACATTAATATCATTGCAACTATTATGCACCAGGTTGTCCTTTGTTTTTGAAGCACATATTGTGACGTGGTTACCAACATTTAAGTTAATGTAAATTGCTTCCATCATCACTTACATCGAGGTACTGTTTGACGATACGCCTCTTGACATCTTCTGTTAGTGTGGCGCGCGCCATGTTGTTAGAAATGAAGTCGAGGGTTTGTCGCGGGTGGAAGTAAACGTTGGCTTTTCGGTTCACCGCCTTGTCATACACCTTAGCTGACTCCGTTGGCGAGTACTTTTGAATTTTGCTGAGGGAAGAGTAAAAACACAAGAGTTACAAACAGCACTTTTGTAATATCAGAAGCCGGAGAAGTCTTACAGTGCATACCCGTCTGAGAATCCATATTGGTTCTTCAGATGCTGTTTAAGGACCAGCAGCAACAGGATGCCTTGAACAGAGTTGGTAAAGTCTAAGAGGCTAGCGGGATTGTCCGGTAGGCGCCTCATGACCCTCTCCGTATCATCCACGTTCAAATCATCAAGGTCTGACTCTGACTCAGAGTTCTCCGAGTCAGCTACTGGTTTTCTGGGCTTTTTGGGCCGCTGTACCACGTCGTCGTCTTCGCTGTTGTGTCCCTCATCGCTCACAGGGGAGTTGCAGTTCATTCTTTCATCGTCATCCTCACCGTCTGATGTGCTCTTCCACTCC